CTCTCCAGAGGGGTGACGATCATCTTCCCACTCTGCATCAGCCAAAGGCTTTGGCGCCTCTTTGGGTACCCCAAGAGCTCCCTTCAGGTAGGCGTCAAACTTCCCAAGGCTGAACATGTAGCCGTCATAGATCGCCTTATCTTGTAGCCACGGCACCTGCTTGGCAGTGAGCACCTGTGTGCCCAGATTCCGGTACCGGTCTCCATGGACCATTGTTGGGTACTTACTGATGGGTGGGCAGTGTTTTGTTGGTGCCCCACACAAGTGGTAAATGCCTTCATCCTTAGAAGGGGCATCTCCACTGTCGTTCATCCACCAGTGGTAGTAGAGGTCGGCAGCCGCGAGGAACATTGCCTCCAGGACCACCCCACTTTTAGGCCTGGCCACGATCTTCCTGACCCCCAGTAGGATAGTGCCTTGCTGGTTGCCTGCATCATCGTAGACCTGAAGTTCCAGAGTCTCACCTGGCGCTGCCACAGGTGGTGAACCTCTGCTTGAACCGGCTTTGTACCAACCGGTCATCACATTTCACCCCACCCTTGCCCAGGGTGGGGGTGACTCCTTGAGAGGAAAGGCTACAGAGCACGGCATGTTAAATCATCGTGTCAATCACTACGTTCAACCCACTCAAGGTAATACATTACTATACATTACTATACATTACTATACATTACTATACATTGATTTCGTTTATTTGGAGACTGATGTCACATAGCTGACATAGCTATGTATGGCAAAAGCACCAAAAATATCAAAAGCTAATGCCCTTTTGACAAACGTTGCCTCGAACGGATCTTGCATCCTAATGTCTGCGGGAGACGGGGCTCACAGGCACTTTGGTTTAGGCGGAACAAGCGGATTGTCCAAACCACGTCTTGTCATTCCAATGCACTTTCAGAGTTGAGAAAACATGAGGAAACACTGAAGGGACTTATGTCGTTATTCATTTAATTTCTATTTACTTACTTATTGAACTTATTTACTTATTTATATAGTTGATTATAGTTGTTCAGCTATACTCAGCTGCTTTTTTGGGCATGATCTCGGATGTCCCCGCTAGTCGAGATCAATGCACTCCGAGATTGAGGTCAGCTTTTGCCCCAACTCACCTCCGCACCACTGGCAGCACACAAGCTGTAACACTCAAAGCGTCATTGAGAGCTCAACACCAAGGCAATCATATTCGCTACATTTCGCTACATTCTACATGATTCAACACATTTCAAGACATACATGTTGCATATTATTCAGTGCTCTGACGTCTCGCATCTTGTTAACACGTTGATGCCTCGCCACACGGGCAAGCTTCCTTGGAATCGGCATGAATCAGCAAGCACGGAAACACAGAACTCGGTTCAAGCTTATCGGGCTGATCAATTGCTGCAATGACCAAGGGCGGGACCCCAGTCGCTAGACCTCAAAACACGAAGAAACCGTTTTAAGATGTGTTGTGAATGTTTGTGAATTGTCTGCTCTAGACTGTAGATACTGTAGACTCTATGCTAAACTGCCATGTTTGCGATTCAAAATCGATTTAGGACGCTGACGTCTTTGCTTTTTTGGCTGGAGGGTCATCTGGCCTTCAACGGATTCGGACGATCTCTTGGCGCGAGTCTGTCGCTTCAAAAATGCAACTTGAATCGGTTCGAACTACAGCGACAGTTGTGTACAGTATGTCTCCATGTCTTCTGTTCTGAGATCACTTGAAATACACCATGTGACAGCGTGACAGTCGCAGTTCTGGGCTCTCGCGCAGCGAGGGAACCGTGGCGTTCGACTCTTCCCCGGAGGTCTGAGCCTCGGCACAGCAATCTGTGGATAAGTTTGGGCATCTCATATTCCAAATCGATGCAAATCGTATCATCTCATATCACATATTATCACATAATTGTTGTCATCCTATCACATCAATTTCTTGTCATCTCATCTTCCACAAATTGTCCGAATCGAGTTCCAAATCGTTCTCTCAGCTGCAAGCTTTGGAGCTCAGCAAAGCCTCAATTCCAGTTGCAGCCCGGTCCCGTCTGCTTCCCAAACCAACTCAACTGTGCCAAGCAAACTGAAGAGACCCGCAGCGGCCTCGGCCGCCGCATCTGCACTACCATAGGCAGCTAAGGCCTCTCAAGCAATCTGAACTGGAAAACTGAAACCATGCTTCTATAATCTTCTCTATAAGTTACTCCATAAGTAGCTGATATCTGTTGATTCATGCGCCCAGCTCAAGTCTGGGAACTGGCATATGGCTGGGCCACTGTACAATATTGAAAAAAAAAGAGCCAGCAGATAGATTTCGTGTTTGGATGAACTACCAGGAAGGCAGGTTTTACACCAGTCATATCTTTGATCCAAGGTAATGTACTGTAAGTAAGGAAGGAAGGAAGCAAGCAAGCAAGTCAGTAAGTGAGTGAGTAAGTACGTTTGGACTTGGCGGTCTGAGCTAAAGGATCCATCACGATCGCAAGTCTGGAATGAAGAGGACAAACCTTGAGGTGAAATAAACAGCTCATTCTATTCAGCAGGGTTATGAGTGAGTTGACTAAAGGATACCACAAGACGGAATGGAATCATACATATAGTCATACATAAAGCATCATACACCTGCAAAGAAGTCATCCACCAAATCTGCATACCCAATGTTGCACGATGTCGCATCAAAGCATTGTGCACCTGCTCTGCTTCAAGCAAGCTGCAGCGAGTTATCTCCTGTGGGCAAGTTTCAGCTCAGCGAGGCTCGTCAATCCGAGATGACTCGCGAACATCCCGAAACTGAAGGAGAATAGAAACATATATTATAAAATCTAAAAAACGCATAGGTTTGGTCGGGTTTGGGCATTTTGGGCAACCTATTTGTTTGTTTGGTCTTGAGTTTTGGATGTTTGGGCCAAAGCGTCTAACATCTCAAGGCGCTGTAAACTGCAATATCATTACGATTCATGTTTCCTTTTTTCCTGGCCTGCAAAAGGGCCAGCTCTGGATTAAATCTTGACTTGGAAGAACTCGAGGAGCTGAAACCCTCAACACACAGACTCAGATGACTCAAATGACTCAGCTTTGGAAATTCCAGCATCGGAAATTCCAGGTGCTGTGCACACTGTGCACTGTGCAGCAAACTTACAATGATTTACAATGCAAGTCCTGTGACAGCTGTCCAGCTAGCAGTCCAGCCTGAGTTTCATTCATCCCTTCTGTTTCAAACCGGCTGATCTGCAAAGCCTGGGGGCAGTGAAACGCACAACATCGTGTTGCGCATCGAAGTCTCATTGTGGGCTGAAGCCAAAACATCCAAACATCCTAGGCATAACATGGCATAACAACACCCATACAAAGAGGGTCGCATCACCAGCAACAGCAACGGTGTGAACGAATTCTCTCCTGCTGCAGTTGGTATTCCTCATCTTCACTGTCTTCTGCCAATGCCTTCACACAATGAAGGACCGCCTTCATACGTAGACTATCATGACTAAATTGTGCAGTGACATTGACATCCATAGAGTGCGTATGAATCCGTCATGTTCTAGTCCACTTAGGATGACTTTAGCCCTGCTGATCCCTGATGGAGGTGGACAAGATCAAAAAGGCGCCTCGTCAAATGAAACGTCTGGCTCTGACTCCTTCCATTTTGCAAATGTTCACAGGCACTTCGTTCAACCCACATCAAACGCTTCAGATGACGCCGCGACTGAAGACTTGGCTTGCCTCGCATACGTCTCGAATGCGCTTGACCCCATCATATGCCTGAAGTGTTCAAACACGTTCAGACTTGGCGCCGCCGGCGATTTGAGGTATGATCCGATCTTTTGACTTTGAGTACAGATGCGCACAGATGATTACAGCATCTTTTGATGATTTCGAGCCGCCAACCAGAGAAGGTTTATGCAAGGATTCATATGGATTCATGCAAGGCGCTCTCAAGGATGACTGCATGCTAGGCCGCCACACCCAGGTCCGCAATGGGTGCCATGGTGGGGCCGAATCACAGCAGATGTGCATGGACTTAGCAAAGACAGCAAGGTGGGGCAAGATGTGCCACGGTGCTGCAGTCATTTGCACATTGTCAGGCTATGTCAGGCTATGTCAGGCTATGTCAGGCTACTGTTCTGACTCATGACATGTGACACCCCGCCTGGCTCCGCAGTGTCTTGCTGCACATTCCTGCGAAGGCTGCCTTGTCATAGGCTGCTGCGGACAGCCAAACCGTGCCACGCTGACCTGGCGTGCCATGGCTGCCACTGCCATGGCTCAAAGATTTCACTGCGAAACTGCCAAGAAACAGTGCTGAGGAAAGAGCCGCTGTACATGATGGTGAGAGCTGAACCACAAGCCTCCATGAAAAGTACAATTCAAAATGATGGATGAAAGCAAAGACCAGCTGGAAAAGATTGTGACTTTGAATCGCCATTGCTTTGGTAACCGCATGGACAGCCGGATGACAGCATGAAGGCAGACTTGGCCTAAGGAATGGGGGAAGCGACCCATGGAAACCATGGACATCTGGCCTCGCAGAACTCCCGCGTTGCATCCCTGCAGATGGGGATGCTGTGATGCTGCACGGACAACTCTCCACTTCAAATGAGAAATCATGCAGCCGCACTGCCACGGAACAGCTTTTTGGCTCTGAACTGGGCTGGCCCAGCATCCATTTCAGACTCTCCTGGAGGACAACGTGAAATCGCACGTAAATTTGTTTTAAATAGGCATATCATGGCATATTTAGGCTATTTAGATCATTTTAGATCTATTTAGGCTTGAAGATTATTGAAGCATCTTGAAGCAATCTAAAAGCAAAAAAACATTGAAAAACAACGAAACCCATTTCGAACTATTGCTACCCTCTTTCCTTGCAGTCTCTCGAGTACTTGCTGGTGCTTTCAGCACACTATGGAAGATCCAGTCCAGGAACGTCTCGTTTGCATTTTGAACTTGGTGCCAACTATTGACAGACAATGATCATGGAATAAGATCGAATAAGAATCAGAATCAGCAGAAATCATATTGATATATTAAATATATATATTTAAATATATATATATATTATATATTGACAGAATCTGTTTCCAGCCAGAGGTGTCCTTGTCATAGCCATCTGGAGCTTCACAGCGGGTGCGCCGCGTTCTGAGCCGCTCGCTGGCTGCATTGCCCAAGATCTCCTGCAGGTGACACCAATGGAATGCTGTGACAGTCTTCGTGATCATTGGAATATCATGGAATATCACATTTTGGAATCATTGCCTCATTGCTGAAGTTCCTTCATTCAATATTCCTTCCAACCCGTCAACAAAAACTATGAACTCTGGCAATCAGCACCTGTAGTACTTGGTACTCAGCCTCGAAGGACGCCTTCCTCAGTCGCTCAGGAACCTTTTGTGACGTGGGGCACGGCTACTTGCAACCGAGCAAGCTCAAACGCAATTTGGGACAATACAGTAGAAGACAAGTTGGTTGCATCGAGTGATTTTCATCAGTCTTGGGAAAGGCCACGTCTTGTTATTATAGATTATTATAGATTATTATAGTACAGTACATCATGTTAATCATGTTGCTAGACATAACATAGGCAAGCCGAGCTGCATGGTCGTCAGCAACCTTCTATCTGAGCAAAGTCCAGAGTGCTTTCCCCCACGAGAGTTGTAGCGCGTGAACCGCACATGTTGAGGAAACGGCCTGAGACCAAGGAAGATACGTATCATTGTAGAATCCTACACAAGTACTCCGTTACTTCGTCTTATTTTTTATTTAAGACTTCATTGAAATTGGCTTCTTTGAGTTTCCTTTAGCTTTTGAAACGTCGCAGTTTGCAACGAGCTGCTTCCTTTTGTTCAACTCTTGACGAACTTGTATGACATGCGCAATGCATCGCAATGCCAGAATATGCTTATCACTCTCAGCCAGCCTTATGCCGAAAAAGTCGGTGATTCGCTGGAGCGTCTCTGGAGCATGTTGCATGTCCTCTCATGGACAGACATGACTCTGGAAGCTTATGTTGCATGGTTTTCTGGTGGGTGAAGCAGCTGACGTTCCTTCTCCCAGTCCTTCTCAATGAACAGTATTTGACTGGGAAAGTTCAGAAACCAGGATCGAATCGCTGGCGCAAAGTAGATAGACCTCTTCACACTGAGCTGGTCTGACTGCATAAGAATCTTCACAAAAAACTCGCATTCGGCCTGAGGTTGTCGTGGACAAATTGCTGCAGCTGGTTCTCAATGTCACCAGTGCCACCAGTGCTCATACGAGCCATTTCCAAATCCAGTTTGCGCTCGAAACGATCCATCGGATCACAAACAGCAACCACCTCAGCGCTAATGCAGTACAGCTCACGTGTACAACTGAACGAGATTCCGAGACTGGGCCGATGATTTGGTAAGCCGAGAACATTGCGACAGTGAAACTTCTTGGATTCAGACCACACGAAGATTGGGAATGTTCGCCAGTAAATGCTCTAGAAGCTCCTAGCATACTGTGTAGCATACTGTGCAGCATGGGCATACCAAGGTTGCGGCAAGATCTTCAAGTGGTTCCCAATGTGTTTCATCCACCTGTCCCCAGCTGTCCTCCTTCCACATCAAAGGATTGTAAACGCCCACTTTGGGGCTGCGCATCTGCGCTCGATGCTTCACCAAAAGCTCTACCTTCGCTGAGCTACAGGGCCGCTTCCAACATCCCAGGGTGGCAGGGCGGCTCGAAATCTTACTTTAAGCATCATTGAAGAGAAATTTGTTCAATCCGTGGATCCATGCAAGCTGTAGATCATCGTCAACATGACGCTCTGATATCAGTCTGCGCAACAGTTCATGGACATGTGCTCAAGAGGCCACACCTGTTTCACGAAGGGCAGCGTTTGTCGCGCCATTTCGATGAAAAAGTAATCCTCGTCCTGTGCCCAGTCAGGTCGCCTACTACGAGGTTTAAGTCGCCAACCGGGTCTGGAAGTCCCCTGTTGAACTCAAGTGACTGGGACATATTGGGACAGCAACCAGCAGCAAAACATCATCTCGTCGAAACGCAGTGGAAGAATGGAATATAGGTTAGAAATGGTTAGAATGCACATGAAAATGGAAACCCTTGCCCCTTAGTCTGCTCCAGGTATGCTGGCAAGAGCCTGTCACAAGAAAATCAAAGCCAGTCCTGACCGAAGACTACCAGGTTTGTAAAGTTGAGATCCTGAGATGCTAATCGATTCCCAGCGTTTGAATGCTTCAGAGATTCAGCAAGACTTTCTGGGCAATCAAAACAACGAAAACATCTCAACTCACTATAAATATAATTTTCCGCCAGCCCTTGGAGACTCAACTGTAATGGCATTTATATATTCGTTTTGTTGCCATGCCTACTAAGATCAAATGAGTAATAAAAGATCGCAAATTGCGGTGTTTGAGGCCCTTCTAAAGGAAAAACCTATGGTATTCACAATGTTTCTTGAATGCCACTGTGAATAGCAGTGTGGTTTGCAGTGTTTGAAGGTGTGAAACACATACTACTGTAGAAAACAACAGACAGCATCCTGCCTACATCTGCCTCAGAGCCTTTCTCTACAAATCGCCTGCGTGCAGAGTGCAGTGCCCATCAATTCGAGCTGCTGGATGCTTTGCCAGATTCCGTCGCAGGGAGGTTGTGCCACAGCCATCGAGACCGATGAGGACGAACTCAACCGGCAAGTCTGCCCAGTGCGAGACCTCCTTGAGGAGAAGCTTGTGTAAAATTGTGTAAACAATCCAGTTCAAATCACAACATCTCGAACTTGCTCGAGTTGTTGAAAACCAGAGTTTGAAAAGGGTCAAGCAAGGGCCAACAAGTACGACTGCAGGAGTCCTGAACTAGACTAGACTAAATGTCTTGTTAGGTTCCAAGATGTTCCAATTCAGGTCCAAACGCCAAAATTGAACAAAAGAGCTGAGATTGACATGACCGACATATTAGATGAGCCGAGATGGACAAATTGAGGCTACGTCCTTTGCAGTGACATTCGCCATCTTTTGCGTGGTGCTTTTTGCGATGCTGTTGAAGTAGGGCGCAGCGAGGTCGAATGCTACCTCTTCCTGCGAAGTCTTTTGTTCCAGGATGTTCCAGGGTGACTGGGAAGTTGCCCTTAACATCCCTTAACAGCAAAAAACATCCTACCGGATCTGACGCGAGCAAAAAGATGCACAAAGTATTTGACAGATTCCTAGATATTCTTATTGATCTTATTATATCTTATTAGTGTCACAAACAACGAAAATTGACAAACCTCGGACCCGACTATGACCGTCAAGAGACGACCCTAAGGCCCTAACTTTCTTTGTTTGGGCTGATTCAACATCCCCTCCCAGCCTGGTTGCAGCAATTGGGCACACACCTAGTTGTTTGATGTCGTTTGCAGCGTTGAGCACTCATCGAAGCACAGTGCTTGGGTGAGTCACTTCAATGTGCACTGGAAATTGTTGAGTATCATCTCGGATCTAGATGAATCATGATGAATCTATTTCGTCAAACACCCACAGTTCGAGTGTGTCCCACCATTCTCATGAACTGCAATCTCCAGTGTCCCGTAGCCAAAATCCTGACCCATTGCTGTCAAGTGGCATGGTGCTGGCCCGAACTCCCAGGCCAGGATGCCACACGTGAACGTACCAGAAACGTCCATCATTGGCCCAACAATTTAATACCTGCAGGTAGCAGCTCAATCAACTTCGACACGTTGACAAATATTCGCCACAATCGCTACAACCTTCGTCTAAATCCTGCTACCAACAATCTCCAATGGCTGGTCATTTGATATGAGGAATTGGTGGCCTGCTTTGTCCACAGAACTACATGTTGTTTCCATGTAAGATACACCTGGTGAATATCACTGGCCCACCTTCATGGATGCATCGCTGATCCACCTCAGAAAAGGGATGAAACATTGTAACATGTCAGGATGACTAAGGTAGGATAGTAAGGTAATAAACTCAAAAAGAATCAAAAAGATACAAACAATAAACGTGCATCAGACAGCGGCATTCAGGGTCCTGTGACACCTGTGTCCATTTCTGTCTGAATGTCTAATGATTTTACAACTGATTTCGTTTATGTCAAGGAACAACATGGCATCAGTGGCTTGGTCTACCCCTTGGCGGTGTCGCATTCGTTCTCGATAAACTTTGGCGCCTCCGGATTCTTGAAGCTCCTTAGTGAAACTGATCGGTCAAAAGAAAACCCAGGTAGGTAGGTGGTTGCAATAGACTGCTAGTCTTGACTTGCCAGAGTATGTCAGTTCTTGAAGTGTCCTAAAGGTTTCTTATGTTTCTTGAATTTATTTGTTGTTGAAAAAACCGATTGAGCTGTGGTCTGGCGATAGATTCACCTGTTGCAAATCCAAGCATGAGCCTTCACGTCTGATATGTCTGTGCAGAAGCTTTGTGCCAGGGCCCGCTTCAAACACAAAGCAAGGAATAGCTCGAATAGCAAAGTTTGAAAAACGTCAGGAACAGTTGTTGAGATGTGTTGGACCGCGATTCTTAGGATTTTAGGTTTGAATAACAACTGTTTATCCATCGTGTCCAATAAAGCACCAGCCCATGGACTCCTTCTCTTTCTCGTTGAAGGTCTCAATGGCATCCCCTTTGATCATGTGGAAGATGGCTGCAGAGTTGTGTCGGAAGCCAGCAAAACCCTGGCCACGCAACTTACGGCGCTCAAATGCTCAAGTTGCTGCATGGTTGCATAAAACGTGTATTGTTTCAAGTCGTTTCAAAATGTTTCAAAGCTGGTCACTGTTTCAAGACACATCAAGGCGCCCGAATTGCCATTGCAGCGGCGTTGACATAATTTTCCCACAGCGGCATAGCCAACTGGCTGCTTGGGCGCTGCCCTTCAGGTTTGTTGCTTGGAGTGCTGTCGCAGATTTCTCAAATCACACTGTACAATGGCATCATGCCACGGCGCCAGCAAACACCTCACTTGAATTGTTCAACATCTTGAAGCAGATCGTGCTTCTAATGAAGTCTCCACTCAAGGATGATATTAGGAACATCGCTATACAGTAAATCAATGTTAATCACAGCTCATCATGGGCTTCTTCATCCTCCGGGACATCAGCACCTGCTCCATAGTATTTGGAGACAATAGGAGCACAGGTTCCTTCCACCTCTCTTTGCTTCTCTTGGATTTCCTGGGAATCAGCTTCTGGGTTGGAATCCAACCAGTTTTCCGCCTCCTGCAGGACTTCCAAAATCCTTTGTTTCTCATCTACCTGCATCTTGTCACCCAGACCTGAATCAGTGGAGGATCGCATAGAATGGACGTATCCGGTCAAGGCGTTCTTTGCATCCACCCGTTCCTTCACTTTCTTGTCCTCATCCGCAAATTCCTCCGCTTCACGGAGCATCTGTTCAATCTCCTGCTCGGTCAAGCGGCCCTGGTCGTTGGTGATGGTAATCTTCTCACTGTTGCCCGTCGCCTTGTCTTCTGCGGCCACATTCAAAATACCATTGCTGTCCACCTCAAAGGTGACCTCTATCTGTGGCTGACCACGAGGGGCAGGAGGAATTGTCAGGTCAAACTTTCCAAGCAAGTGATTGTCCTTGGTCAACGGACGTTCCCCTTCAAACACCTGGATGTTCACAGCTGGCTGGTTGTCACGGGTGGTGGAGAAGATCTGGGACTTCTGCGTGGGAATCACGGTGTTGCGGCTGATGAGTTTCGTCATCACACCTCCCACTGTCTCAATGCCCAGGGTCAAAGGCGTCACCTCCAAAATCAAAACCCCGTTGGCATCTTCTTCCCCACTCAGAATCCCTGCCTGCACTGCAGCACCGTAGGCCACAGCCTCATCAGGGTTGATGCCTCGATTGGGCTCCTTGCCATTGAAGAACTCCTTCAACAACTTCTGAACCTTTGGAATTCTTGTGGAGCCACCCACCAGCACAATCTCATCCACCTCGTGCTTCTTCAACCCTGCATCAGCCAACACGGCTTTCACTGGACCCAATGTGTTCTTGAAGAGGTCGGCGTTCAACTCCTCGAAACGTGCACGGCTCAGTGTTTCCGAAAAGTCCACACCATCATAAAGCGCTTCGATTTCCAACCTCGCTTCATGGCTGCTACTCAAGGCACGCTTGGCCTTCTCCACCTCACGACGGAGCTTCTGAATGGCACTTTTGTCCTTGGACATATCTTTGCCGTGCTTCTTCTGGAAGATCTTCATGAAGTGCTGCATCACGCGCTGATCGAAATCTTCTCCTCCCAAGTGTGTGTCGCCATTAGTGGCCAGAACCTCAAAAACACCGTTGTCGATGGTCAACAAGGAGACATCAAAGGTGCCACCACCCAAGTCATAGACCAAGATGTTCTGATCCGTCTTCTTATCTAAGCCATACGCGATGGCTGCAGCCGTGGGCTCATTCAGGATGCGGACCACGTTCAGACCTGCAATGGTCCCTGCATCTTTGGTGGATTGACGTTGGGCATCACTGAAGTAAGCAGGCACTGTCACGACTGCATGGTGCACCTCTTTGCCAAGATAATTCTCAGCTGTCTCCTTCATCTTGGACAAAACCATGGAGGAAACCTCCTCAGGCGACATCAGCTTCTCCTGTGCCTTCACTTGGACGCTGATCATGGGTTTACTGTTCCTTTCCACGATTTTGTAGGGCAACAGCTTCATGTCCTTCTGCACGGTGGAGTCTTTGAAGCGTCGACCAATCAGACGTTTCACATCGAACAAGGTCTGTGTGGGACGGATGGTCGCCTGATGCTTGGCCGCTTCGCCAATGAGGCGCTCCTCATCAGAAAAAGCGACGTAACTGGGCGTAATGCGATTGCCTTGGTCGTTGGGAATGATTTCCACCCGGCCATTTTTGTAGATGCCAACACAGGAGTAGGTGGTGCCCAAGTCGATTCCAATCACCGGGCCCTCGATCTTCTCTCCAGTTCCAGCTGCAGCTCCAGCTCCAGCCACACAGAGAAGCAGCACCAGTGCGGCAAACGTCCACTTCGACAGGGACGGCATCGACTTGATGTTGGTGTGTGCTGTATACCGGTGTATGCCCAAATTTTGCTGTAACTCTTGCACCAAAAATGGCTTCAGCCAAGGCAGTTCTACAAGTTTGATGAGCTATGTCTAGTGCTTCTGTCAAAGTCTGACTTGGCTGTTTAATGCTGTTTAGAGACAAAATATTCCGATGTGGCACATTGATCTCACTCATTCATATCACCAGGCCTCTAGGTACTTCTCCAAACAATTGGGAGTGCAGTGAGGTTGATCACAGTCTTCACACGGCTCTGGACCTCAGATCTTTCAGTCTTTGTTCCATCTCCAAGTCCAAAGCAAGGGTTTGGCGAATGCTAACGAAATTCTTGTAGCATCGCACAGGTATCTACTGTTATGTCAACGTTGAATCAAACATGCCCAGGTGATCTTCCATATCTTCCATTGGGATCAGCAAATCAACTTTGGTCTTTGATACAGCAGTCACCCGAAGTTCGGGTGAATCACAGCCATGGGTTCCAGGCTCTGCCAAGTGCAGGCAGCCTGTGCTTCACAGCTTCTCCTCTCCAGCTTCTGACATGGCACCTGCCAAATGGAGAACAGGTCAACCATTGGACCATGGGAATCCTGTGGAATAATTACTCTCTGTGGAATCATGTTTCAATATGTTTCAATAGCTAATGCTGTGATGTTGGGGATACTTCATGCATCTTAATGATCTTTAATGGTCATTCCGTCATTCCGAATTCAGCTTCACGAAGACTCAATCGGTTCAATTTTGCTGCCTGACCTGGAATTTAGGGTGTTCAGAGCTGCAGCTGCCTTCCTGCAAAAGCAAAGGATTGCAGGATTGATCCTAGACCGTTGATGAGTTGATGATGGTCATTGATGATCAGTGATGATCATTGATTCAACATCTGGTGAATTCATGTGAATTCCATCAGGTCTAAGGATGTCTAAGGGTCAAAGACTAGCCTCGCAGGAAGCCCCGCAGCAGCATGGCAACTGCAGCTCCGAGAAGACCGGCACTGCAACCGCGGCCAGGTTGAAGAAGCTGCGCATGGCATGACCGCCAGCGCAGCAAACGGAACGTCAAGTCAAAAAGGCGAAAGAAACGCGCCAAAAGCGCACGACATCTTTCAATAAGTGTGCTGTTTTTAACTGTTTTATACGATTGTCGTATTTTGATGTATTTTGTCCAACAATGCCTTTGACAACAACATCACAAAGACTGCATTGAAGCCAAGTGTAATGATGCTGATTCTGCTTCGAAGGGTTCTGTTGTGTGCAGAATCTACTTGTGGGTTTGAAACGGTTTGTAGAACTTCGCTTCCGAGTCCACTGGCCGCTTTGATTGCGTGCGTATCAGCACTCTGCAAAATTGTAGCTTGGTATTTGGTATTCAAAACTTGGGATCGATCAAAAATCAGCAAACCACCATGACATATGATGCCCTGCTTTGAACTGTGGGAATTTCTGGCATTTCTTGCCCAGCAGAAAACAATCAAGCCACAGCTGCAGTGTCGGCACTGCTTTCCAGTTTGCCACACTATTGAACTACTCAGGAGGTAACGCAACAGAGAAAGTTCCGAGGATGAAAAGCGATGGGCAAAAGAGATACACAGTTTCACACCTAAATTCTGTCTACTACAGATTCACATTTCTACACATAAATCATCATAGTCCGCACATATTCCAAACACTCCAAGGTTTCAATAGGTGAAACACGCGCTTGGCCTTGATGCTCTGATGACCTTCAAAGAGTTGGGCTTCAGCCACTCGATTTCGGTTTTGGGCACCGGTGTCCAGGTCCTTGGGAATTTCCACATGACCGTGCCAGCCGTGCCAGCCGTGCCAGCCGTTCCAGCTCCAAAGACATAAAGACCTAGAAATCTGGAGTTGCTTTGAGCTGCGTGTGTCTGTAAGATCTGTAAGTCTTCACATGCCACCTTAGAGTCCGGAGTGCCATGGCAGTCACTTAAATAGTCAAAAGGCAACAGTCCATGACAGGCGTCTGGTAGGCGGCACCACTCATCTGTCGGCACCTGGGTACTTCCACCATAAACTGCACTGGTTGGGTCGGTTGGGTCGGTTGGGTTCATGGGGCTCAATGCGTACTGGGCCCAGGCACATGGAGCAGTGGCAGTGCTGCATTTCTCTGGGAAGTCGCAAGGTCCTTTGCGCGATTTCGCTGGGGAACCCGATCCATCCTGATCCCATGCAAATTTCCACTCAATCTGCCTGGATAGCTCTTGGAAATTCTGATGAAAAACCCTTGAACTCTGTCCTGAAACGGCAACTTCCACAAAGGCAAGAGCCGAGAATTGGAGGTTCTGGAGCAGAGTTCAAGACGATCCTACAAGTAGCAGCTCTGAAAGGGACCCACAGAAATCAAGAATTTACACATATTATCATATATTTACATATATTTACATCATTTTGATTGAATCTTCTGAATCTATATGACTTTATGATATTTTATGATATTTTATGTGCCTGTATTCAGTCGCTTTGGCTGTCTTTGCACTGTCAAGCACCGCACCCGCTTAAAGGGCCAAACGGAGCTGGCGACTCAGTGCCACAATCCTGACGACAAGGCGTTGAGAGGCGAGGCCTCAACCGGACCCCCAGAATCCGTCCATTTGAAAACGGGATAAAACTGGAATACCCTCTGGTGAACATACAAAAAACTATGGAAAATCACCATTTTTAATGGGAAAATCCACTATTTCTATGGCCATTTTCAATAGCAAACCGTTAAATTACCAGAGGGTACTTCCAAATGAATCCAAATGACATCTCTCACCTTGGATCGCATAACACATGATAACACATGGATAGTGCATGTGTCATGTGTACAACTCGGGCAAACAGGTCCTTCAACTTGGGAGAGAAATCCTTCGGAAAGGCCTTGTCACAAAGGACCTCGAAATTTCAGGTTCTCGTTTGCTTCGAAGTGTCCTCTTGTGTTCTGTTCATCTATCCAATCGATTCCATCACTGGGCCATGTTGTCCTGGGATACATACTCCGGCTGGCAATAGCGAGCATCGAACCTTGCATTTGACAAAAGGGGACGCTCAGTGTCAGCAAATATCTCTAGGTTTGCGTAGAAGTAGGTGTATGTATGATGGTATGTGGAGAACCAGAATAGAAGCCTTGAGGCATGGACAGTGGCACATCGATACTGAGGCCAAAGCCTTCCCTTCCATGTGCAACGAAACTAAACAAGTACTGCCACACCTCAAGCAAAAGATTTCTATGCAGAAACACAAAACGTGGTTTTGGTGCACTGTGTGCTCCTCACATATTCACAATGGCGACAATGACTCAATTTTTTGCAGCAGGAGAGGTGTAAGTTTGCCAATTAAAAATTACTTTCTTCGAGTGATCCCATTCATTATTAGCAATCCTTTTTCGTTATTAGACAGTACGCTGGATCCCCACCCTGATCCATTATTCTGACATAGTTTCTGACATACCATCTGGAAGTCATTCTTTCTGGCATATACTCTAACATTCTTTCTGGCATTCTATCTGGCATCTATTCTGATATATTCTGACGTTCTTTCTGGCATTCTGTCTTGCATATCTTCTGACATTCTTTCTATCTGGTATATCTTCGGAGATTCTTTGTGGTTGAGGTCCGGCTGGGAACACTCTGATCCGGAGCTCGCGGTTGAGGTCCGGCAGGAAAACCTCTGTTTTGAGTTTGCTAGCGCTTGCAGTTGAGGTCCTGCGGAGGAGCAGGCGGACGCGGGCCAGCTGACATTTCTAACAACCCTCACCTGACAGGTGGGGAAAAAGTCTTCAAAGGTTTGTTCTCAGAAAAAAAAAAAGTAATGCTTGGTGCCAGACGCCTGGCAGAAGTGACGTTTCACTTCTGCGTTGACCGTGCCTCCCGAACCAGCGCAGTCACAGACTGCAAAATCATAAACAGAACAACGATGAACGATGCACTTCAACGCCTTTCTGCATTGCACTTCAACGGCTTTGAATTTTCTCTGCCTGCAAGTGCAGAGCACATTGAGAGCGGACCTCAGCATGGAGAGAGAGTGCGGACCTCTTTCAAATGGCTGTCATTGAGGCGAAGGCCCTCTTTCAAAGAGCCTGGCTGTACGCGATTTTTGAATCACAATGTCAGGTACTTGAACTGTATTGAGTGATTTTGAGTGAAGCGACATGAATGACATGAAGGTACTGTGTGTATCTATGTGTACCATGATGTACTTTCCGCTTCAGATTTTTTTTCACGCCTTGTTCGCCATGGAGTTCTTGACCCTTGATGGCCAGTGGCACCAATGGTACCCAGGCTGCACCGTGAGCTTGGCGGCAGTCGGGGCCTTAACTTCAGAGTCTTTCGAGAACAGCACGGGAAAACATGGGGAAAACTTGCAGAACCACCTGATATCAGAAGTCCGTCAAAGTGGACTGATTGACTCTTCCATGTTCAAAATGAAAGGCTCGGTGAAAGTCGGCGGGGATTCTGCATTGTATTTATATTTTATATATATAATTATTTATATATATATATATATTTCATTATAATATATTATTAAAGTGTTTCTCCACCTTCGAACATCTGATTTCGTCTCCAAGGCTACGACAGTGACAAGCCAACCACTCTCGTCCGCGCTCCACTGGGGCCTTGTAAAGGTTTGTGGTTTTCACATGTTTTCACATGATGCCACCTTGAGTATTTGCTAAATTAGTGTGGCAGATTTTGGCACGGTGTTCTGACTCAAGGTTCCAGCCAGAAAGCGAACTTTTTTGCAAAGACCTGGCGTTTCTTTCCATTCCCCTGCCCTTGACTATCATGATTGGCGCAGTTTGTTCGGCAAAAACTGGCCGGCCGCACACGAAGCTGGAATTTGCAGCACATCCACCATGGCAAAAGGACGCAAAGGCACAAGCGTTAGAGACTCTTCAGTTTTCCTCGATCAGAGACTGCATCCTTCTGACCGAATCCCTTGGTACTAGAACAAGATGTGATAAATGCCTGGAGAAGCCGGAAGATGGTTTCGGCCTAATTTCGGCATCTCTACGTTTTTATCGATTTGAGACTTTATGAGTCATCATCATTGGCTTTTCAGCCTGACATACATCATGGAAAATTGTGTTGAATCTGCCAGCTGGAACCAGACAGAGGTTTGGTGCATCCAAAGGAATCCAAAAGAATCCAAAAATCATGATGGCATCAGATCGCATCTCTCTTGATCACTGGCTCCACTTTTCCATACTTTTCCGCTCATCGTGGTCACATCCTGTATCAGTCTACTTGCAGGGCTCAGAAGCTGCTCTGAACCATCGAGATAAACCAATGTAAACAATCTGAACTTGCAGCGCTTTGCAGGATTGGATGCTGAATTCAGTCTGAATTCATGGACGAATTTGCCGGAAAACTAGTGAAGCACAACCGGCGCATGAGTCGCGTCTCCCTGCCGGTTCTTTGAAGTCAAAAAACCAGCAACATGGTTCTCATCCGTGCATTACTATTGCACCAAAACCTCCGCGCTCTGTAGTATGTCTTGTTGAATGATAGCAGTACTAACAGTACACCCAGGTCCTTCACATCAGTCCCACATTTTGATCATTTTGAAAAGACTGACGTGACTGACGCGGCCAGGATGCCAAAAAGCTCCATGTTGCTCCCCTGCAAGATGCTCACAACAACTCACATTGAACAAGCATGAACAATCGAGATCTAAATTGAAAGCGCCGCTGAACAAATTCAATGCCGCCTGCTTACCCGACAAACACAAACCCAGGCGTATTCGCGAAGTGGTTCTCAGCTGTGGTGTAAAGAACCAGGCTATGAATGGCTAGGACACCTATGATTTGCAAGCAGTTTGAACTTGTTTGAACATGTTTGAACTGAACAGATATGAAAAGATTCAACTGGCTAACCTGGACCCTGCAAGCTGCACTTTTCGCCGCAAGACTTCACATTGGTGTTGCGCTGGCTCCCTTCCAGCTACTCAAAAGTGCGAACAGCATGGAGAGGGACCGCTTCTGCCCGCTTCACTGGAAACATCTGTGAGAGTCCAATACTGTTAACAAAACGCGACAAGACGCAACAAGTAATTAACAATATTGAAACATCATGAAACATCAGTGTCATGATCATGTCATGATCGTTCATCCCAACAGTAGATTCGTAGATGCACATCAAAGCACCATCTCAACCAGAGGTGAAGCTGAGCAAACAAAGGGAAGAGAATCAACAGCTACCTGCAGCAATTTGCAAAACTGGTTCAAGCCACCAACTGCACATTGGCCATCATTGGCCCATGTGGCCATCCATTTTATCAAGCCCCGGCCTTTCTCTTCAAAGCCCCAAAGGATGAGTTCAGGACGCAGTCACCATCAAACATTTGTTCTGCAGCCTCTTCCCTCAAACAGGCGACCACATCCTTTCGGAGGTCTTTGCAAAAGTTGTCCACGGAGCCGAAATCCTTCCAAAAGCGCTCCCTGGATGTCGAGAGATGGATGCGATGTGGTTTCAGGCCAGTTTGCAGTTGGAGTTGCTTGTGCACATCTGACAATGTCTCAGCTTGACCGCATCCTTTATCCATCCAGCCAGCATCAACAGCAAGATCTACCTTGCTTCGGACAACCAAGCAACGAATTCCTGCATGGCGAATGGCTACCAAAAGGCTGTCATCACCTTGAGACCACCGACCATCAGTGACGATACAAACGACATCAAAGTATTTCAGGCCCATGTTGCAGAGATAGGTCATGGAAGGAATCTTCGAAGTTCCTTGGCCAGGGAGATCCCATAGAGAGACTTGACCGAGTATTGCTAATCGAAATCGCGTGGGCTCAAGCGTTCCATCGCCTTCCATGGAGATTTTGGGCATCTGGGCCTGGGGTAAGTCAACTCCAAAATGCTTCAGGACGACTTTGATCAGCGAACTCTTGCCAGTTCCTGAGTCTCCAAGAAACGCCACGTTCACAAAACGGTCTCGAGCAGCATCAGCCTCTGCATTCTGACTCACCTCATTGACGTAGTTCTGAAGAAAGATCGGGATGGGATACTCGCGCTTCAACCTTTGCCACTTCTCAAGCTTGGCCTTTTGCATGTTGTCACGCTCTCTTTGAAGTTCCTGAGCCAAGCGTTTTTCAGCTTCACGAGCTTGTTGCTGCTGCCGTTCACGAGCTCTTTCGTGTTCCCTTCTCCGTTGCTCTTGCTCTTTCTGCAGCCGCTGCAAGTGAGCTGCTTGTTCCTGTGCGCGGCGTTGTTCAGCTTGGCGCAAAGCTCTTTCCCGTTGCTTCCGATTCTCCTCTTCCATCCTCTGCTGCTCTTCCATGCGCCGGCGGATTGCTTCCTTTTCCGCCTGGGCTCTTCGAGCAACCTCCTGGGAGAACGTGTCCACATGATGGTGATGACAGTGATGAGTCCTGCTGCCACCACCACCCATTGCAGCTGCTTCAAAGTTTGCTTGGAGCTTGTTTTTTTCGGCGTTTGGCTGTCGGCTGCTGTGAAACCAAAAAAATGACAATCATCAGACTTCAACTTCCAAACGGTCAGGTTCATCAAACATATTCTCCAAAACATTTGGCCAACGCAAGTTTAATCATGAGTTCAATCTCACGGATAGAGCGGAAACAACATCCCACGCCTCTCGATTTTTTGGGAGCAGCTTCGCAGTGCCTGGGAGGTTTCACTAGATCTTATCACGTCATCTCTCTGATGGTTGGAGGTGCATTGACTCTTGCATATTCAAAAGGAAATGCTCGGTGACAGCCGGGGATTCTGCATTATGTTTCTCCATCTTCGAACATCTGAAGCACACCAACCAGAAAGCGAACTTTTTTGCAAAGACCTGGCGTTTCTTTCCATTCCCCTGCCCTTGACTATCATGATTGGCGCAGTTTGTTCGGCAAAAACTGGCCGGCCGCACACGAAGCTGGAATTTGCAGCACATCCACCATGGCACAAGAACACAAAGGCACAAGCGTTAGAGACTCTTCAGTTTTCCTCGATGAGAGACTGCATCCTTCTGACCGAATCCCTTGGTACTAGAACAAGATGTGATAAATGCCTGGAGAAGCCGGAAGATGGTTTCGGCCTATTTTTTCGGCATCTCTACGTTTTTATCGATTTGAGACTTTATGAGTCATCACCATTGGCTTTTCAGCCTGACATACATCATGGAAATTGTGTTGAATCTGCCAGCTGGAACCAGACAACAGTTTGGTGCATCCAAAGGAATCCAAAAGAATCCAAGAATCATGATCGCATCATATCGCATCTCTCTTGATCACTGGCTCCACTTTTCCATACTTTTCCGCTCATCGTGGTCACATCCTGTATCAGTCTACTTGCAGGGCTCAGAAGCTGCTCTGAACCATCGAGGTAAACAAATGTAAACAATCTGAACTTGCAGCGCTTTGCAGGATTGGATGCTGAATTCAGACTGAATTCATGGACGAATTTGCCGGAAAACTAGTGAAGCACAACCGGCGCATGAGTCGCGTCTCCTACCGGTTCTTTGAAGTCAAAAAACCAGCAACACGGTTCTCATCCGTGCTATTGCACCAAAACCTCCGCGCTCTGTAGTATTTCTTGTTGAATGATAGCAGTAATACACCAGGGTCCTTCAGATCAGTCCCACGCAGATGAACTTAGTGCCACTTGACTCCATTTGATCCCTATAGGCCCTATATTATATGACAGAGGTCAAAGTAGCACAGGAGGTTTGAGGCTGAAGGCATGGCCTGACCACACACCTGGTGCGTAGCTTCAAGGCCCCTCGCTCCACGTCACCATGTGGATCTCTCGAGGCGCTCAGGTGGTGCGAACGCGCTTAGAGGGAGCAAAAGACATGGCATCAGCCTGTCGATCCTTGACACATTTAACACCTGCTCCTGTTTCTGTAGGAGATGTCAGAGCTTGTTTGGCAATAAAGCGACAACCCCTCCTGACACAAGGCCAATATAGAGCAGGATCCAAGCATTCCAAGACATTCCAAAAATTTCCAAAACATTTCATTATATATATTTCATTGCTTCAGACAGGCAAAGCCTACCTGGCCTACCTTCATAAAAATGTGCAAAGTTGTTCCACCAGGCGCAGCAGCTCCTGTTCGTCTCGTTCAGCTCAAAATTAGAGCTTGGCTCGAAGTCCGAGTCCATTGAACTCCTGGCCCAGGATGCCCGTGCGGCAAAAAAGACATAAAAAGACTACAGCTGTCTGTCAATTCGCCTTGCAAATTCCAAAAACAATGTCTAAGATTCTCTACGTATCTCTGACTCGTCTTTCAACTGCGAGCTCTGCTAGTAGTTCTGTTCTTCCGTGGAGGGAATAAGCGGTTGCTTTCCTCGCATTCAATCTGGCCCCCTCGAACCCAACAAAAGAATGCTTTCGGACTCAGAACACTGAAAGAAATGATCGCAGCGAGCGAAGCTGCCTGTGTTCAAGCCAAACTGATCGCAAACAATCCAGGATGAAACCGGTGGGTTGTTTCCAGTTTCTGAACCTCAGCGCAATTTGTATTCCAGCTGAAACACCAAAGCGCCCAACTGACATTATCTGTCATTTGGTCATGAGATATCATGAGTCATGCCCCATCTGAGGCTGCTCCGGACTCTGGACTAGAGGAACTGTCAACCTGGCCTTTCAGAGCTGAGGAAGGTGCTGGGCAACAGATCGATCTGGCAAAAAGTTCAGGTCGTACCACTCGTCGGGACCTCACTGCGTACACTCACAGCCTTGCCGATGATCAGGTTGATCAACAACTTATCCTTTAACTTGTTCTAATTCCAATCAAGAGGCAAACCAGGTTCAGCACGAACAAAGGGCGCAAATTACCAGCTGCTGCATTTGCGATGGATATTGGGCCTCTGCCTCCCATGACAAAGAAATACGCAAAAGTCTGCAGTAAGTTCATCGTGTTCACATTGCTCATGCATCTCATTGGCATGGCGCCGTCACGGCAAGGGTTGTTCCAGGAAACAAAATGAAACAAGTGGCATCAAGTGGCCTTGAGAAGCGTTTGATAAGCTGCTTGTGGCATAAAAGTTTGCAATCTGTCTGTGGATCGGTGTCTTTTCCACGAAGCGCCCATTGATGTAGAGGAACATGAATCGATCGCTCGCATGGCCATCTTTCAGTTTGGAAATAACACCTTCGCCAAGAAATGCCATGATGGTGCCGTGATGTGCCGTGCCACTAGAGCAAACCAGTCGCACTTGTTGCTACAAACATCCACAACCCCCATAGATTCCCATGATTCCAATGGTTTGGCAGTGCACCAACATGACAACTAAATGCAAAAAAGATCGAAAAAGCGATTGTCAGGTTGACTGCCATTTCAAAAACACCAAGCCTTCCAGCCCGCAAGCAAATTGCCTTGAGTAGCACTTCACCCTGACACATTCACACCATGTTGATGTGCCAACAAGCAAGCACCAAGTACATCCAAATACATCCAAATGGATCCAAATAGATCCAAATACAGCAACCAAGGTCACTTTGAATATCTTTGAATCATTGTCATCATCCGATCGTCATCCTACCAGTAGACCTCAGAATTCAGAATCAACCCTGTCAAGTCCCTGTCGCACATGTGCAGTCTATGTCCCCGCACCTGCAGAGGGCACGGGCACAACCCAAGCCCAGCACGTGTTGCACTCGAGAAGTTGAATCTTCTTGCTTGAGCTTCAGAATCTCCACCTTCAGGAGTCGCTTCAAAGTCACACCAGTCATATGCGATATCACAATTCAATCAAGTGGAACACAAGCGTTGGACATCACGGGGTTCTTCTCCATTCTTCTCCAACTGGATAATCCAAGATTTTCAAATCTGACTCTCAAATTGCCCGACCAGACCTCCCTCGGCCCAGTGCGCAGGTCTATTGCCAGTCGTGGTCGCAGCAATGCTAGTCGCTCCAGGCGCAGACGCAACATTGCTGCCTGCCAAGTGTTTCACTGACCCACCCATCACTGCCATACCTGGGGCCGGTATGGGCCAGATGCGGGGATGCTTGGGCATTCTAACCCACTACCCATGAAGATCATGAAGAATTGCTCTCAGCTTTGACCTCTCGGAATTCGTGTTAAACACGTCCATGTGACAGAACTTGAGGCAACTCTGACAACTTGGCATAAAAATGTCTCTGCCTGCGCAGAAGAAGCCCAAGAGCCTTCGATACGAACAGTGGTTCCCACACCTCTCAGCAAAGCTCAGGATTGCGCCCTACATCAGGAGATGATGAATGCATTATGACATCATTATGAATGTATATGAATGCCAAGTGCTGAAAGTCCATGAAATCCATGAAATGCTAAACTTGTCCAACCCGGACACTGCCGTCATTTTCACCACGCGCTGGTCGATAGGAAGAGCAACCAGGCTCGAGACGTTCAGCGGGAGGCTGAATCATGCTCTTGCGGGCAAGGGATCTGGGATCAGCGGAGGTCCTGGAGGTTTCAAATTTTGAAAATTCCAGGACCTCTCCTGATCCCAGTACTCCAGGAGATTTCCTCTTTCTCTTCAACTTCGCTTCCCTCTTCCACGAGCTTCGCCCACTGAGCACAGTAGCATGAGTTTTTGCAGTTTACCCACTTAAGGCATGAGCGCTTCTGAGATCCATAGCCTTGCAAAGAAGCAGGGCTAAACAGCTAAATATCTAAATATGTGTTTATATGTGTTTGTTTGTGTTTAGAGTATCTGAGTATCTCAACTGTTTTAAGATGTTTAAAGATGTTAAGTCCAACGAAAGAGTGATGGAAGATAAAACGTCTGACTCGGACAAGTAGCTGGCGCACACCATGCCCTCCGAGTTGCACTCCAGTCCGAGATAGTATTTGGTGCCCACTGGGCACTGAGCCCACTTGGTTCAGTCAGCCTCCTCCATTCCAGCTTCCTCCTATACAGTCAAATTCATCTCCTCCTCAACCAGAGCACTATAGGCCACTGTGACGCAGAAGATCAAGCGCAACAGCTTCGCCATGTCTCCGATGTCTCCGGGATGCAGGGGTGTGCAGTCTGAACAAAACCGACATTATTAGCTATAATATGGTATAATATGGTATGGTATAGTATAGTATAGTACAGTATAATAATATAATGTAATACCATGTAATGTAATATAATATATCATTATCATTATTATTGTCATTATTAGTAGTGCAATGATTATGATTATTATCTATATATTTATTATTATATTATCACTATTATATTATCATGTTTATTATCATCATTATTCTGATCATAATTCATTATGACGATTAACTGATTAACCATTAATAATAAGTTAATGGACAATGATCAGGAGAACTGCAGAAAGTCTGGCATACCCCAAAAACTAGCGGTGTTTTGAATGCGAAAATCGTACGTACGTCAAAAAGCAAGCAAAAAAACGTTGAGTCGTACTGAAATCTACAGAACACATCCAATCAGGCCTCAAGTTTCAACGCGATCACAAGCAGAGTTCTCGAGGGGTTTCGAGAGCTTGAAGCGGCTGCGGGAATTTGATCCAACGTCTAAAGCAGCAGCATCAGTCTCTTCCGGTGCACAAAAACTGGAATGTCTCAAATTCTACCTGGGGACTGGGGAGCTTCTTTCAACGATTTTCACCCATATCACCCACTGGCTTTAGGCCAATCCAAGCATAGAATGGACACACATCTCCCCTTCCGTAGATGAAGCTGAGTTATTTGCTGCGTGCCTCCTCTGGGATGTCCAGCTGGTCCACATTTGACCATGGCACCACTTTGAAAGGACTTGCACCAGGTCTCTTTCCCTGCTACCTGGTGGCAAAATGGGGCAAATGCTTTGATATCTAGGACTAGGACCTCTAAGAAGATTGCATGACATTGAACATTGAACGTTGACATCAAAATCGTCCAAACACTGGTCACTCAACATTCACTCTAAAACCATTGAAGTGACTTGCCTTGGACAGCAACACCACCCGCTGGGATAGGGCTACCAAGGCAGCAAGAGATTCTCCTCGGCCACGGCCGCTCCTTGCACCACGAAGACCAAGCTGATCAAAGTCCTCAGCATCGGCAGTGTGTGAATTGGAACGACGTTCACGACTTAAACCTGAAAAATGGTGATGTGTGCAATCAACCGAAAACAGCAGATGGCCAGGGATGGCCAAACACAGTTGTCCAATGTTTTTCACAGAGATTTGAAAACACTGCCTTCAAACATGATGTGTTCATAACTCTTCAGGGCTGTGTCCGAAACTCAATATAAAAATTCATACTGGTTTCCTATCAATTTTCCTATATTTTCCTATCTGTTCAAGAATTCCAAGATGTTTTCGTGATCCAAGCTGCATCTGGGTCGATGCCCCGCCCGTTGTCGCGGACCTCCAAGGCACATCCCACTGCAGCAGCCTCCTGCAGCTCCACCTGTCAACGCATCCGTGTATTTTTTCATATAATATACTATGTGAAAACCACCACTGAATTAGGTACTGTATATTGAAATAGATTTCTATAAGATTATAAGATTTAAGCCTTCATTTAACCTGTTATAAGAGTTATAAGTTATAAGTATGTAGAATCTCTATACTGCATTATGATTGGCAATTTACGTTTGTCATCCATATTTTAGTGATTCCAGGGCTATTTCCCAACAGCTCAAATGCCAGCGAACTTCCAAAATTCAAGCTAAGCTGCCTCCACCACCGATGCATCTGCTTCAACGGCGTTCAAGACCATCTCTTCTGCAGCTCGTGCAACGGAAGGGATCACCACATTTCCACGCAGTTTCCTGGTCAGTATCCGCATCGAAGCAACAAACCGATAACTCATGGCTGTTGGGTCGCAACTAGCAATTAAGTTTGATCTCCCATACAGAAGCAACAGATCGGACATCTTTACAGAAGAAGCTTGGAGAGACTGTCAAAGCAGTCAAAGAAAGTTCAAGACTCTGAGAAGAAGCCGCTGGTGATGAGCGAGCTTGGCTGCGCGGACGGTTGTGGACGGGAAATGGGTGCGGAGAATTGCGCGGACGGCTGCGGACGGCGTGGTTAGCCTGCTACATATTTGCATCCGTGTGTCGCAGCTACCTACGCGCTCAACAAGTGTAAAAGATTCTCCCTAGCATGCAGCTCTACTATGCACATGCCGGAAAAGTTCCCCAAATTCCAAACTGATTGCATTTAGACTTATGCACAACAGATGTTGTTCCATATTCAAACCCATGTGTCCTACGTAGCATTGCCTTCAGAGTCACGGCATAAACACCGTCTCCTATGGAAAGGCAAGATGTTTCAGCAGGTTTTCTCTGGCATACTTCTTGCTCGGATTTCTTTTCCGCTATTCCAAACGCTCATATCTTGTTGATTCTTTTTGTGGCGATTGAGCAAAGAGATTGCAAACAGTCTAACGACATTACTGCTTAACTGTCTAACTTAAGTTTCGATGCAATGTCATGAGTCATAACCCTTTACATCATATTGCGCCAAAAATAGATAGTGCCTAAAGCTTCAAATGAACACGGCTCTAGCTGAGGATGAAGACCTACCCAGTAGGGTTTAGATTCGATTCGAAAGGTACACGGTACAAGGATGTACAAGGTAGGTTTGGGTGCCAAGAAAACCAACCTTAAGCATCCTTAAGCAGTGTCTAGCATGTAGTCCGAGACTCTCAATGACATCCTTGGGCAATTTCTGGATAACTGGACAGTGCATCGGCTAACAAGATCCACTTTGAGTCACTTGGTGTTCGACCAAACCAAACGGCTGCGTGCAGCAAGCACTGGCCTGTGTATCATGATGTGGTCTGCAGGCAACTTCTAATGATCTAAATCTAAATCACAAGCCACAATGACCATGAAAAGAGATAAGAGATACGAACCCGTCAAGATATCTGCATTCAGCTGGCTAAGCCTGTCCACTCAAATATTCTTTTTCTATCGGAATTGGCGGGATTGCAGCATTACACGCACACAATTGTTGGCACAGGTTCATTACAATCCGTAGCACTCAGCTGCTGGCAAATGAATGAACGGAAGTGTTGTTTGCTTGACTAATGCATCCCACGTCCGCGATTTGACAAGACAAACAACAAGCCCAACATGGCCAAACCATGAAAATATATGAAAATTCATAAATGATATAAATGTTCAGGAAATATGCACAGGACGCGCAAATCCTATTTTCGCGCTCCACAGTGTAGTCTCCCAGGTGGTTGTGTCATCCGTGACCAAGTGAGTCAACTCCGAGAAAGCCAGCCGGTATCAAACTGCTCCAAGGAGGTACGGTATGATGGATTTGCAACAGGATTCTCCCTTCGTTCAGAGGATTTCGTAGCTGCACCATGCTGCATCTTTGGTTTTCATGACGCTTTTCGGAACCATTTTTTCTGGTGTAGTTTCACGCATTAGTCACCTGCCGTGGAAAACCATCAGATTGCTCTGGAGCCAAAATTCAGCTCCCACAGACTGGCAAGGCGCTTCTGACGTAAAATCATGTAAAATCGTCATACTCGTGGCCGAGAGGTGCTAAAATCTTGCGGAGGTACACCTGCGAGTGGCAATTAACGTTTGCCCATTCCTCCTCAAGCTGTAGTTTCGGCAATCTTTCCCATTGTTTCTGACAACTTGCAGGCCAGCGCTTTGCTTATCTCCTACCGTGTAGACCGAACTCCTGTGGTCAATCCAAAAGCCTTCAAGGCCCTTCAGCGCCGAGCTCCTTGAAATGATGCCTCTCGCCACTCATCGCGCAGCTATCAGCACCAGGGCGGGTGACCACTGATTGCGTCTGTGGATGTTCAGCTGGCTGCATGACGACTGCTCTCAAGCTTGGGCGCTGATCATCATAACAGATGGAGGATTCCACACAGGTACCGTGGGAACAGGTGCATGGCTGACACGCTGACCAGCAAAGCGTTGGCTCTGATGCACTGGGCCTCTTCATCCTTCGGAAATTGATCGACTCAAGCCCTCAGAGCAAACAATCGCCGATTGCTACTCACAATGAACACTTTCCTGTGGAGGTCTTGCGCACCTACCAAGGCCGGAATTTCCACCACCTCAGTCTCACCACTCAGCAGCTTGTTCGTCAACGTTTGCACTGACTCGCCTTTGCACCTGTCATTCCGGAAAATCATTGAGATGGATGTGTGCAAAATGCAACTGCTCAACATCAATTTTTTGGACACAATGAGCCCAGGTGCAGTGGTCAAACTTTGGTCTGGCTGGGTCCCAGTCCTGGTTTTGCTGCGTAGGGCGCAAGAACTCAGGACCTCTTGGGGTTTGACCATTGGGAGCTCCAACCGATTGGTGATTTGGCTGGTCCTCGAGCTCCATCACCTCATCCTCTTCTGAAGATTCTATGGACTCTGTCTTGACTTTTCACCATTCCTCTTTGATTTCATTTTTTTCTTTTACTTTTGGCATCGTCTCCGTGGCGGCCCGCTGGCGGAGCAGCTTTAGAGGATGCTGTGCCCAAGGATCTAGCTGGTGGCATTGACGACATGGCGTTCTCTGGTGTTCTAATGTTTGCCTCCTTGAACAGTTTGCTTGGCATTGCTTTCGGCTGGACGTCATCCTACAAAGCACGGAAAGGAGGCCGCGAGCGCCTCTTGCACATAGCAGCCAGGGACGGAAGCAGGACTGCGATACTATGTTTGTGCTGGGCTGGTGCCGACTCTTTCTGATTTTTCTTGGCGTGCCCTTTTCTGACTGGGTGCGCGCACGGCCCTCCTCACCAACACTAGAAGAAGCAGCGCTCGCTGCACCAATGCCACTCGGCATGGCTTTCTCGGTCTGCAGCTTCAGTTTGCACATGTCTGTGCCTCTATAGGCTCCGACCCGCTTGGGACAGCTGTCGTGAGCGTGGAGATTCCGAATTACCTCCTCAAACTCATGTGGTGCTCCACTGAGAGTCCAGCTTTGGGAGAACTGCTCGAAGAGCATGTCCTGTTTGTCCAACTCCAGCTCCCAAAATTCCCAAATCTGCCACGGGCTCTCCATCTTTGAAGAGCAGCTTGCAAATAGCCTTTTGCGAGGCTCTCGTCAAAGATATGGTGTTGTTGTGGTCGACGGCACGTGTATCCTTGCTGATCAAAGTTTGAGTGGCTGTCTCGTGGCACCATCCGCCTGTGGACGATTTGGCCTTCTGAGCCGTGCATGCGGCTTGTGGGTTTTGATGAAGTCTTTGCATCTCAATTTCATTGACATCTGCGCATACCTGACTCATCTCTTTGATATCATAGTCCCTGAAAACAATCGACGTCCCAGCCACAACTAAGTAACGGTCGATCTTTACGCGTGCCACTTGCAAGCATGCTGGACTTGTCGCACAAACCCGGGTCCTCTCCTGCCAGTGTTAGGGCGCAGCAGCAAAGCAACTTCGACCATGTTCAGACCAATGGATAATGAAATCTAATTCACAGGTCATCGCGTGCGGGCGGATCGCGAGGTCGTGTTCACAACTCATCGCGAAGTGTCACCATACTGCCATAGTTTCACCCAAATGAGTCCTGCGCACTTCAATCATGTTCAATCGATGGCCATTTGCATGTCGTGAATCTGCTCAATCCTGGCCGATACGATGCCAACGAAGCCACTCTTAGATTCTTTGCGACTGGCTATACAAAAGCGCCCAAATCATCCAACAGCATCCAACAGCTATGTCTCATGGACGAACACAATGCCTCACAACCTCAATCGATCACTCCCCCACCAAATCCAGTCCTGCTCTCTGTATTTAGCGGAAGTACAGGCCCAATGCACTAACCTTGGAGGCTGAGTTAAAGTTTAAAACTTGGCTTTGGCTTGCATTGAAAACTCCAAATGCAATGCATGGAAAAACACAGAGTTTCAGCACCGCACCAGAAGCGAAGATGATGGATCCTTGAGCTGAAGAGCTAAGTCTCGCATCGCAGCCTCACAAGTCGACAACTCGTCGCCCTGAATGACAACGCAAATGCGAGAGGAACCTTCCTCCGCCCCAAAGACTTTGATTTGGTGAAGCGGATGCTGTAGGGAAGTTGATAGAACCTCCGTGAGTCTCTCGCTGTGTCGTCCTTCTAAAGGTTTGGAAAGCTGAATGGTAGCTTGCGAAACATGTGAGGCTTGCGAGACTGGCACTTTGTCTGAAAGACGATATGGATTTCCATGAGTTGGTGAAGGGTTCCTGACATCCTGAATATTCGAGGGAATTTGTGCTGGATTCGGACTGGAAAGATGCACTATTTGCTCCGCCTTCGCACCTGCTGGAACAATCGGAACAGGGGGTGTCTCTTGAGATCTTGGAGACTCCGCCACTTCCTCGTTGTTCTCGTCGTTGATTTTCCAAATGCCATCGCCAGTGAGCCATTGCACAACCAAGTCCTTTGGAACACCACCTCCCGGTCTCGCACCAAATCCTTCGAAGAGCCATTGCGCCAGGTTCTCTACCTCATGCTGCTGGAAGGGCCCATTCATAGAGGCTAGCAGTACCTTTAGTCCCATGAGATCCACAGTACCATCTGATTTTGAAAATCCAAACACCAAATCTGTGGCCGACACAGTACTCACTGCTTTCACTGCTTTCACTGGTTTCACTGGTTTCACTGGTTTCACTTGACCATTTCCGACTTTGCTTTGGCCAGGGTCTCGCCAACGCCACCAGGCCAGCACTTTGGCTTCCAACTGCCGGAGCCCAGCAACCTCCAGCATTCTTCTCTCTGCCCTTGATTTGAAGAGTCGCGCAAAGCTGGATGCTTGTAGTGCGACAGGTACACTGTGGGCTTCGCTTGAGCTGTCCCAGCTGTCCTTCTCATATTTTGAACATCCCAAAGCCATGAAAATTCGCTCCAAGGTGTTCCATCCCAGCTCAATGCCACGAAACCTCAATATCCTGGCAATATCCTGACGCTGCAGCTTCGATGGTGCAGCAACATCCAAGAAATCTAAGGCAACTGATGTGCATTCATCTCCAACCTCCTTGATCAACTGGTCAAAGCTTTCATTCACTATGTGGATTCTGCTCATGAGAGACCACAGAGTTCCTGCAACCGGTGTTTCTGAAAGCCAAAGGGCCAATGAGTCCGCTTCCTCTGGAGTCAACAAGGGCTGGTAGGCTTGCAGAGTGGCAGGATCAACCTTTCTTAGGACATCTGTTTTCTCTGCGGTCTCGTCCCTGGTCTCAACCTTCTGGATGTTCTGGACTGTCTCTGACATTCTCCCCTTCAAGTCACTCTCGAGCAGCTGCAGCGCTTCCGAGCTCAGGCAGCACAGAGTCATCATGCCGGCAGCGGCTTCTGTGACTATCTGATTTCGCGCCTTTGGCAACTGGGAAGGCTGTGGCTCTTGAAGAGCTTCCAAGATTGACTCCAGGCCAGCATGAAGCAAAACTCGCAGTTTTCCGATACTCCGATTGGTGCTTACTGCTAGCACATCCACATCCTCCTGCAGAATCTGTTCATAGCCCTTCAGATTGATGTTCTCTGCACATTCTGGCGTCAATGGAGATAGAACCAGCTTCGCAAGTCCACACAACTCAGCACCTTGCCAGATTTGCACAAAAATACACGGCGGTGATGGACCAGCCACACAAATCCCATCCTTTGTCTTCCAAATTGGCGATGAAGAAATAGCGCTCTGACCCAGACGTCCAACACCTTCAAGCAGAGGTTGGACTGGCACTGCCACCTCTTGGGCGGGCCCAAGCTTCAGAATGGCTCTCGCACCAGCCAGGTCTGCAAATTCTGAAAACTCGCAAACATCCAGCCAAACTCGCAAATAGATTCCACCTGAACTTCCAGGATGAGATCATTTCGAACATTGACGGCTTGTAGTGCACCACTGTCAACTACTTTTACTTACAAGGTTGCTTCTGCCACGTTCGCACGACAACATGTGCATCCAAAATCATCCAAAAAAACATTGCTAATTTTGAGTGAATGACTGGCATCAGATAGAGATGCAGGAGATGGACAACCAGCTTCCGTCAGCTCCATCGAGAAGTGCAGCCGGCCAAAAATGGTGCTCTTGGTCCCTGCCAAGTACTGCAAAGCACAAAGACTCACTGCTGTGCGGGGTCAAACTTTAGCTGCCTACATGACTACACCAGAATACAAGAGGCATGTTATGAGTCTCATGCTCATACTCATGACATGCCAAGTGTGTTTCTAGTTTCTATCGCATTCACAAACTGCCTTTGATATCCTTTAATCTGTGATTTTGTGATATTTCATGATATTTCCCTCTCGCTCTCTCTCTCTCTCTCTCTCCTTTTTCTCACTCACGGCAATTCTGTGTTGTTCGCCTGTGGGTTCCACTGCTTTCAGGTCTGCAGTGAGAGAAGAAGCTTTCCCTGGCTCCAGCAGTGCCTCGGAAATCAATACAGCACTGAAATACCGCAAAAAGCCCCAACTGCACAAAGATCTTCAGTATGTTCAGTACGTAGGATCCAAACAGCGAACCAAAGAACTTCTGCCTAGCCACAAAGGCCATGCACTCTTGTGCGAACATGCTACATCATGCTACATCATGCTACATGACTCAATGCTGATCTATGAGTGATCTATGTATGTCTAGCACTCGCCAGTTTCAAGCTTTTAACATCTTTTAACCATTTTAACCTGCCAAAGTCTATCGGATATCATCGGATATCGGCCTGAGCCACTGGAGAAAGGGCTTGACTTCCTCACGACACAGTGGAATTACAGTGGAATCAGTGGAAAGCAACTGATTCAACTGATGCAAAGATATGCAAAGTCTGGGCTCTCCGTCCTTTGGTTCGAGGGGCTCGAACTTTCAACTTTTCTGCACCCACCAGAAGTCCAAGCTGTAGCCTCAAGGAAAACTTGAGTCGCGTCTAGCAGAGTCTAGCATGCCGCGGCGTTCTGAAAGAATGGGGCGACTGCCCAGTACTCGAAGAAAAAACAGAAACGCTGCACAGAATACTGCCAAAGCATGCCAAAGCTACCCGTTGATTCGGTTGATTCCTCCTCACCTTAGTATACTGAGCTTCCAGCGGCTGACTTGCTACTTCTTGCCACTCTGCTGACCTTGAAAGTGTGCTGACCCTGTTGGACTGCACTCACGACAGTCGCTTGGTGTGCGCACATGGCGCACATGGCGCACATGTCCATTAAGGTCAAGGCTTTGGTTTCTGCAGGCTGGAAGAGTGTTGCAGCACCAAAGGATTCCCTCAATCCGGCAATCTACATGTTGATACACATCGCATCATGTTGATGCGTATCCTGAGGAGGGGGCCATTGCTGTCAGGACAACGGATATGGATTTCTTCAGCATTGCGATCCCCTTGTCCGACATGAGTCAAGGCAAGCAGAAGACAGCTCTCTTCCAGTGTAGTCTTTGATACAAACCAACTTGGTTGAAATAGACGATCCAAAATGGAAATAAAGAGTCTTGGCCGCAGACCCAAAGCAATGCAGCAGCGAAGCCAAATGCTTTGAGCATCCCTGCGCAGACAGTGCCATGATCAGAGGACATTATATAAGGCTAATATAAGGCATTGAAGAAGGCAATAAAAACGGCACACCATCTGATTTTCTCTCCTCCGGAACGCATCAAAATTCCGCATTGACAGAGTCTATTCATTGCATATGCCGTATGCCAAGTCATCCCTGACAAATTCCACCCACAATGCGCCAAGATGAGCCAAGGCAGCTGCAAGGCACGGGCGCCTTAATTTCCGCCGCCCCAACGCAGTCAGCTCCAGGGTATCCAACTTCAGGTGAAGCCCGTCAAAGTCTCAGCACCAAAGCACCAGCACTCAACATGTTTCAACGTGTTTCAACGTGTCAGCACAACTGGCACAGCACAAAGATCATGAAAAATCCTAGCTTCTCTCGGTTTCTCTACGCTTGTGGATGTTGTTTCTTGCCTTGAAGTTTGGATCCACTTGGCAGCTTCAGCTCTTTCACATCTTTCACATCTTTCACATCTTTCACTACCTGTTCAGACTAAGTTCAGACTGTTCACATCGACACAAACCAAAACTCAGATTGCGCACATCGTCGCACCTCAGGTGATTCCACTGGGACTTCCTGCAGTTTCTCCTTCTTGGGACGCTCCAATGTCCCTGCGGCACAATTTTCATCAATTTAACATACGTAATTTAACATATCTTCATAATTCTTCAGGTGATGTTTCTTAACACGTCATAACACGTCATGACACGTCTTCATAGTCATAGTTCTTCATATGATGTTTCTATATGTTTCTCATGTTCCAGGAGCCGAAGCAAATTGCATCCCCGCAGCGAAAATGTTGCCTCCACACATTGGATCTTCCGCCAGGATCAGCTCCAGCTCAGCCGCTGCTCGATTGGATAACCTCAGATGGGATGAAAATGGATGTGTCATGATGTGTCCTCCCCTGAGGAAAACATGGCAAGGCGGCAAGGCGATATAAATCCTGTATCAATTCTCCAAACACATCCCACCGCCCAACGCCTTTTTGAACTCAGTCAGCTGGCGGCAACAACGGAACCATTGGATGATCCACCACAGCTCCCTGGCCAAGATCACGAATCCACGATTCGTAGGACACTGCATCCTCTTGTGCGGAGCAGGCTTTCCGCAGCAAGCGCGCTCCATCCGCAATGAAACCCAACGTCCAAGCCACTCGAAGTGGACCTCCTTCAGGCACAGCTGAAGCTGAGTGCAGTGTCCAACCATGATGAATCGAAGCATCACCAGGAAGGATGCTACCAGTTCCTCAGAGTCTGGGCTGTGACAAAATTGAGGAGCAATGGAGCAAACACGAAGAGACTGTTCAAATCTATTCTACACCTCCAAGCTGATGCTTGAAGTTGGGCAGCTCCATGATGTCGCTAGGCCACTAGGCGCCACTAGGCTCCTGACTACGAAGTTTGTATCTGCCACTGAGGTCTTCGTCAAGATCTCCATGAAAAGGAAGGGCAAAATCCCTGTGGCTGCCAATGGCATACACCAAGGAAGATCCCCCGCGAGGAGGTACAGGTGTCAATGGCAACCAGAAGGTCAGAAAGCCTCGGTCAATCGGTCAATGATCGTAAAACTTGGTGTACCTTGGTGACCTTGGTGTCACATACTGAACATGTCTGAAACTCAAGGACTTCAATTCATGTCAAATCCATCTTTGAAGTGTCACCTAAGTATGCTGAGGAAAAAAGCCTCAAGTAGCTGCATTCAAGCTTCTATTCGTATCGAAGGGCGCCAAACCCAAATCTGAGTGCCAGTCCGTTGCCCCATCACCTTGCCGCAAGACATGTCAGGTGAAGCCACTGACTTCCTCCACAGTCAGTCCTGTAGCCAGCTGCATCCTAGTCGCCAGGTCGCTTCATAAAAACAGAGTCTTGGTACAGGCCTCAAGCCGACCAAAGTCTTGAATGCCAAAGAAGCCACTCGAACCCTTTATAGAAAATTATAGAAATATGAAACGATGCCGTTGCAGCACTGAGTAGCAAACGCACGGAGGGCACACCAAGTAGTCTGGTAGCCCAAAAGGAAAAGCGGGGAGACATAGCGATTTGTCGCAGTCTTTCACTCTTGCGGTGGAGATTGAAGTATTGAAGAAATGAGACCTCGCCACCTGAGCCAAGGTCGGGCACGGACAGAATCAAATGGCATCTTATGGTTGGTCAAAGCCAAGGTCTTGCCCCCGGCACTGAGATTTCCGACGTTTTTCCAAAGCCTCCAATTTCTTGCGGCATGCTGTCACTGTGCGGCATTGTGCTGCAGTGTCAGCTCCAAATTGCACCTCAACTCTGCTGTGAACCAATGATTTTACCGCGTCAAGGGACAGAAAATCCAAGATCCGCATGGACCTCCCGTCATCCCGAAATCAACCGATTCAGCACCCCACCCGGACTTGATGCTGCAGCGCCTGCAGGGTGCACTCTTCAGAACCTGGTTGGTCCAAGCCATCAGGGAATTTTTAAACAGATCTCCAGAGATATCAACAGCGGGAAATCTATGGGAAATCTATGGGAAATCTAAGCAAAGCAGCAAAGATTTCAACCATTCCAAGAGGGGCCAAGAGGATTCTGAACTGCTTTTAGCTAGTTTGTTCCACTTCAATTTAGTCAGTGCCAAGGTGCCCTGCAGCTCTTCTATGACATCATTGACAGCAGCTACCTCGTCCTAAGGAACACAACAAAGCATGTGGGGTATGGTCCAAAATCCATCAAAATCCACTAGACATCACTAGACTATAATATAATATTAATAATATATCGCAAAGCTATACAAAGCTTAATAAAGGGTATATTTTTCGGGTCAGGGTTCACATGGGTTCACTTAAAAACCTCATATTATCCAGTGAACATCAGTGAACAATCTAAGGATTCAGTTTGCACAGTGAAGATGCTGCACCTCCATCAGGATCCCTGGAACTCTCAGAAAGCCTTGACGCTCGAAGTCCAGCCTGGGTGCGTTTGTGAAGCGCGGAAATCTATGTGCTGCATACGAAATCATACGAATACTCACAACATCTCACAACATCTCACAACATCTCACAACATCTCACAACATCTCACAACCTAGCCAGTAGCCTCAGTAGCCAGGGCTCTGACATGACATCAGTGCTGCAGCGTTGTCGGTCCTGTTTGCCCATCCCATAGTCAAATTCCACTTCGCTCATGGCGATCAGCAGGTCTACAGGCTGCAAGGCATGTTTCATCTCCACGCCTCATCCGTCACCGGAAAGCCGCGCAAAGTTCCGACTTTCTTGGAACGCGATGCAGTGCAAAGCGCTTGTAAGGCCTCAGCTGTTTGCAACTGGCCCTTCTCGCGCTGTAGACAAGCCTATGCCTCGGTCATGTTGTCCCTTACAGCAAGACTTCATCGTAATTCCAGTTTGTCAACTCTTTCTGCTCTTTCACACCATACTCAAGCATAATATTCAATCTCAAACAATGTGGTAGATACTTGCACGTGCTTCTGGGAAAGGAGCCACAACGTAGCCACAGCGACGGAGTCGTCCAGCTCTACAATGCGGCCGTTGCTCGAAGGGCGTCGGACGTGGCCATAAAACTCGGACGTGGCCATAGCGGCCATAGCGGTCAGCAAGTCCACTTCCCAATGCACGACCCGGTGCCATGGTCGCAGGAGACATCAACATGACTTTGGCTGATGGCTCCTTCCAGGCGTGCTCAGCCGGGAAGATCCCTGATGATCCCTGATGTAGCATGGCATCTTGGAACTGCTTGTTGACCACTTCCAATGGACTTAGAATGCGTAGAAATTGGGCTGTTCATTATTCATGTCCAGTCATGGATTGCTTCGCAACAAGCTTTCATTGAAGCAAGGTTTCACAACTTCAATTGAAAGACCTGAAGCAGATGCCGTGAGACTGTTCCTTTCCAGAGCAGCTGTACCAAGTTGTCAGGCTAGGAGGATAAATGCTCGAATGCAAGGCAATGCAATAGGATAGACACAACGACTGCAAAGATCTGACAAGGTCCATGATGAGCTGTGAATCACAGCAAGTCAACAATTCAGGACTTCAAATGATGGTTTATGATGGTTTAATAAAAAGAAAATAAGTTATAAAAGATTCCACAATCCCTTGCCATACTGACAACTGCGACTTAGACTTTCGCTGAATGACCGGGTCAGGTCGCTCGTTTGCCACTGGCGCTGCCACCTTATACAACAGCTCACAGAGTCCCATTTGTAGTTTGTGCTTGAATCACAGCTTGCAAATACTTCTAAAAACCCTTGATAGATCTTGATAGTGGTTGTTCAACAGAGCTTCAATCAACAGTACTGATAAAGCGCTTGTAGCTCATAGACTTTTCTGTCTCGAAGTTCAGGACTATGCTGCTGAATCTTGCTGACCAGTGACCATGGTTGGTGCAGCCAATTTGGTTGCCATACTTTGGCATGCGGATGTGCTCGGATTCCTTGCATCTGCCTGGTTCCCGGAGGAAGTATCTTGCATTCATATGCATTCATGAAAGTTCAATGCAAACACATAGAGATCAAACGTTATGAAACATGATGAAAGTCTGCATGATTCAACTGTGAACATGTGCAGCTTTCTGGCGCCTGCAGTTGCTCTCGGAGTTGCTGAGCACGTCTCAAGAGGTGATGTGCCTGAGCAAAAACCGATGTGACCCAAAGAAATCCAAAGAATACACAATTACACTGTAATTACACGATCCAAAAAAAAAACTCCGAATGGGAATCGTAAAGAAAACGAATCCGAATTGTAACAGATTGCCATGGCATGGCTACAAGGTTCTGACTCTGTCGTCTGTTTCCATCTGCAATGCATTCCGCTGGCAAAGATTGGGTTAAACAAGCTGACTATCGAAATTGGAATCAAGGGAAATCGTTTACATCATTTATATCAATATCCATAATCCAAGGGTTGCTTGGGTGGTCAAACATCAAATGGCATCAGTCATATCAACCTGTCTTATTCTGGAGCACCACATGTTGCAGATGATTTCTTGGTGTCAAGATCCCCAGCACCGTTGGACACCCCAAGAATTCTGTCCTAGCCCCTTGGAACTGCCATCAAAGAAACTGTCTCCTTGCTCAAGGCTCGCTTTGAATGATTTGAAACATGCAAGAAACTTGAGCCAGGGCAAGCAATGTGCTTGGTGAGATTCTATCTCTGTCTCTTGCTCTGCTGTCCTACTTCTTTCCCAACATACAACTGAGATCCGCAATGATGCCACGGCAGATCTGGTAGCAATTTTGTTCAGGATTGGCTGCGCGAAAGCTCTCGAAGCTTGTGAGATTCTGCCACCTGTGGGCGGCCGAACCATCAGAGGTCGTCACAGAAATCATCTGAAAACAGCTCAGAAATGGCTCAAGTTTGCGACAAAAGCCTCCAGGAACCAGAAAGGCTCAGCCAAAGCATCACCTGGATCGTCCAAGGGGCATGCACTCTCCACCCGAAGATCCAGGATGCCTTCCTGCACCATGGCATGCTTACCTAATATGTTACCATGCAATATCGATCAGCGGCTATATCTCTCAATCTTTGCACACAAATTTGCACACCTTCACCAGTCCTGGGGATGAAATTCGACAGAACAAACCTGAGGAAAGCAAATTGGATCCAGATAAATTGGAGTACACTTTCTGGAAGCCTAGACTAGTTCCTCTTTTTCATAGTTTGCAAATCAAACCCACGGAGTGCCAAAATGCCAGGGCCCAAACGCAGGAAATGTAGCGGCCTGCCTGCCAAGTCTTTCAGACTCTTTGTTGGCAAAGGCGGGCCGACTATGGTGGGTGAGCAACGTATCATGAAGTTCGTACTGCGCCTGCAATGCAGCACTTGCGTCTTGGTTGCATGCAACAATTTGGGCCACATCTAAGCCTCATTTCTAACGCATGATGTTCCACCGGCAGAGAGCCCGACCAGAGCATCCAAAGCTGCCCATACGAGTAATTCATCAAGCTCCCTCTTTTACACGATAGAAAAATGTTGACAAAAAAAATACGACACGTCATGAAAACTCAAACATGGCTCCTGCAGCCTGCAGTCCCCTCTTTGATATCAATGCCAAGGCTTGCACTCATCACGGCAGATCCATCGTCCAGGTCAATCACATCGTCACCATCACGACCTGTCCACAGTTCTCACATGGGAATTCAAAACGAAAAAGATGGAACGTCAAACTGCCACTTTTGAGGCTCAACAAGTTCACCCAAAGTTTTGCCACACCCATTCGCGAAACTAAGTGGAGCACACAGTACGTATCCTTGAAGCCAAACGTGCTTCAGGCGCCGCTGCAACTTTGTGCAAACTAAATGACCTCCACGTAAAAGACACAACTCTAGAGCACAAAAAGCGTCAAAAAGCATCAAAAAGCATCAAAAAGCAAGGTTTATATCATAAATTGCGTCTGTGCTAGTTCGATCGAAAGAACTCAGTGAGTGCTGCGAATACAACTCTCAGGTGCAATGTCACCTGACTTGTCGTCATCACAATGTATCATTACTTGCTGGGCACTACAAAGGTTCCTTAGACACTACAAAGGTTCAAGCTTGGGAACTATATAGTCCAACAAAGGAATTATTGAGTGTGACCTCATCTTTATGGACTGAAAAAAGATCTCGGAAGCAGAAAATGATTCTTGATATTCTTGGAACCGAATCTGTCACTGAACTAATTAACTAATATGGTGCTGTCGATATGTGCGGATATCATCTTGCCTTCAGAATCAAATGCTATTTGCCGAAGCTCGGCCAAGAAAATCTTCATCGCATCACCTGCATCGTTCGCATCAAGAAAAACACCACACCGTGAACAGCTGATCACACCCACTGAGCCTGTGGAGATCTGCCCTTGCCTGAAGCTTCGGACGGAAATGGATGCTGTGCTCTGGAAATCTCTGGAAGAAACAAAGAACACAAGAGTTGACCCGGCAAGAGTTGACCCGGCAAGAAATCATGTTCAAACATGTTCAAAATGTTCAAACTGTTCTCTCACCTTGGCTCCGCAGCTGCCATAACCCAGCCCAGCACTCTCTCGACACACAATCATCAAGAGTCGATCTGATTTACTATGTGATTCGAATTGATTGTGGAGACATGTGGAGACATTGTCAGATATTGGATGATATTGGTGTTTTCGCGCTGTCCCAACGAAAGCGAAAGAGCCAAATTTGGATAAGTTTGGCCACTTGGTTTGTTTTCTTGCTTCGGAACATCTCAAACATCTTATTTCAGGAGTCCCTATGTCCCCTGTCTGCTTCTGGTCTTGCAATCCTTGTCAGTGCTGCAACCCTCTCACTGTAAGTTGCACTGCGAATTGAAATTCTCCAACATGCGATGTCAAAATTACAGTCTCTGCTCTGCACGTCTGCGACCAAGCCAGGTACTTTGTGCCCGTCAGGCAACAGTCACTAAAGAAAGCTACCGTTTGTTTAAAATTATTGTGCCCGAAGGGCAACTTTCACTTTGAGCCTTACATTTGGTCGAACAATGACATACGATTTCAACGTACGGAACATGGAAAATGAAAACAATACACCGACAAATCACTAAGGCTGCTGTCCAACCGCTGCGAAGCTAACAAGGATGTTAGCTTTACGCACAGCTCAATTTCTTAAAGACTTCCAAACATAGGCAAACACTTAGTCACTTAACATTCTTGTCAAGGGGCGATGGAGTCTTTGTGAAAAGTTCACGTCTTAGTTTGCACACTTACATCACCAAACGCTACACTTTCTGTCGCCAGCCATGCAGGCGCGCGTCGCACAGGGCTGAGAGACATCTAAACCGCATGGTCTGCGCTTGGTGCTGTCGTCGAGCCCCATGGAAGATCCAGCTGTGAAACCTAGTTCTACCATTTTCTACCATGGACTGGAAAAAACCGCTCTTCAAAGGGCATGGAGCTTAGGACTCTCTGACCCTTCCTGTAGGATATCATAGGAATTCATAGGATATCTTAAGGTCATTCCAGTCATAAGCCCAGGTCATCTGGATGGTCCAGTTCCTGCAACCTCAGCAAACGCTCAGGTTTCTGTTGAAACTGTCCGAATCTGCAGATTTGAGGGCTCCTTTGGCATAAAACATGCCTGGAGTCCGAACTACGAAATGCATATTGATGATTGCTGATACATATTCATGATCATGGGTGAAATCGATACCAACATTTGCAGACTCCTGATTTTTGAAAACATGCATGGCATCGCTGCATCGATGCAGCCTAAGCTCAGGACAATTCCTCTTTTGGGCTTCTGCACTTGCATGTAACGTCCGCGGTATTTGTTTGGATCGTACCTCAGTGGAATATGTGGAAGCTTGTCAGAAACCACCTGAGCTCATTGCACAACAGTTGAGAGAGATCTAGCTCTGAGGTGCAGTCCACTTATGTGCTGCCAGCCTCGCAGTGACAGCTTCAAGATCGAAGAGTGGCCGAGACAGAAGAGGCAGGCTGCAATTCGGCACTGCTGTGCCTTGTATTGAACTTGCGTCGCGTAAGCCAAAACTTCTTTCTGTGAAAGTCCTGTGCAACACAGCAACAGAGATGAACAATGAAACATTGCAAATGAATTCATAATGACATGAATAATGAGTTTAAACATGAACACTTCTGTGAGTTGATGCACTTCGCTGCTTGGGCATCAACCCTCTGCGGGTCCTTCTTTGACTCGTATTTGTCCTTCAGATTTCTCTGTATGTGCCGCCAGTATCGAGGCTTCTCCGCAGGGAAAAAGCCACTTCTGTACAGCATTTCCTGCCAAAGCCCATGTTGACCGATGCTCTCTTCATGCTGTTCACAGTATTTCCGTATTGACTCCACACGTAAAAGCAACGGGAGAGGCAACTGCCCATCCAACGAGATGCCACCTTCATTTCCGCCGGCTCCGTACCGAGTTCAAGTGGCCCATCATCGACAGGCACCTCGAATCACGCAAGTTGCTACAGCACGTTACAGCTCCATGCTCCAACATGCTCCAACTATTCTGACCACAAGCTGCAGCTGCAGCTCTCCAAGCTCTGCTTAGTTTCAGAAAAATGCTGACTGAGGCGCCAATTTGCCCTCGGTGTCCGTGTAACCGAACTGGACCTTGAACCAAACAAAGCACGGCGGAGCTCCAGTGCTGCAGTGCTGCAGTGCAGTACAACATGATGAAGGGAAGGGCAGAACAGCAAAGCGTGCCGGATACACCGGATATTCGCCGGAGTAAAAGTATCGGAATTTCCGATAGAGCTTGTAAGATCCTCAGTCTCTGATTGAGCACAGAGCAATGTCTGCACATGAGGCGAAAGCACTGCCTTCCGCTACATAATTTCTATGAAAATGCCATGATTTGGCACAGATCCACTGAGTGGTCCACGTTTGATCAGATAATTGTACTGGCATTGGATCGCTTCCCGGAAGTCGCCGCGAGAGTGCGCAATCTGGAGACACATCAAACTACAACAGAAATCAACAGAAACTTTATGAAACTGTGGGATGAAGTCAATCCCTTTGCCTCACCAATGCGCTTCCACGGTGTTTTGCCTTCGTACCGAACAAAGACCTGCCGAATGCCATCGAATGCCATAAGGCTTGAGGAGGGGTGGCTTACAATTTTCTGCTCTGGACTCGTGGATAGATTCGGATGGGTGGAGAGGAAACAAATTGCAGTTATCCTATGTATGGTGCTTAAACTTCACCAGCTCTTGTGTGCGACCGCGGCCTCGCTCACATTGTGCCCAGCTTTAGCAAGTTCCTGAGCATTCCACGGCACGCCATCAAAAAAAGATCATCACTATATTCACTATGGTGCGTGACACAAACTCTAGCAGCAGGGGAAAATTGCTCAGGAAAAAGACATGCTACTAAATTCTAGCTACTAAGTGATAAGAATGACTCCTGGAAGAAAATTAAAGACCTGTATGAAACTTGTTGCAATTTCTGCTCGCTGGAACTTGCAAAATCTTCAAACCGTTCCGCGTTTTTCATTTTGACCAAGCAGCCCAAAAGCGCTTTCGCTGGTCCCTCGCCCGACTTTTCAGCGGGTGGATGACAGACTCCTGGTCAGAACATGTCAGAACTCCTTTCAGGATCGTCTTATCCTGTAAGGTAATGGTGGAGCGATCTGCAGGAGATCAATCCAAGGTGTTTCGGCAGAAGATAAAAAACTGTGTGGGTTCCAATGGGTTCGAAGACATTCTTATCTTTTCTAAAGCTCAGGTACAAACCAGAGCCAGACACACCACTTTGCTTGAAAAAAATACAAAGTCATTACATGTCATTACCGTAGATACGCCGTAGATGTCTTGCCATTCCTTCCTTTTCACAGTCAATCGTTGAACTTTTTTGATGCCGCTATGCCGCTATGCCTGCATAACTCTCGTTGACCCATCTGCCCACCTTTGGAATGTCGCTTGCATTTTGGAATCCAAAGGCCTCACAAGCCATGCAGTCTGCAACACAACACAATTAAAACATATCAAGACTTGATGTGAAGCTAATCCGCACTCCGTACTCCGAACTCCTTGGTTCATCTTGGTTCACTTGGTTCACTTGGTTCACTTGGTTCTTGGCCTTTGGGAGTCTGATGATTAGCTTCTGCCCAGTGCGTGCAACTGGCGATGCCGCTCCCTCAGCAATCCAAAGTCAAAGTGAACTTCTTCATCTTGTTCTCTCTCTATGGCAGTTTTCCATTGCCACCTGCTTCAAAATTAAGGGCGTCACCTGTCTGGCCAAGACTGACAATTGCCTCACACCCTGCTGTGCCTGCACTGCATTGGTTTGTCTGTTTCACTTCCACCGTTCACAAAGCAAGACAGTGGACAAGCCTGGAAAGGCCGGCAGCTGACAAAGGCAGCGAAGCCGTTCAGCCACGCTGACGCAGCCTTAATGCAAAGGCAGATTTGTTGCAGGATCACTTGGTTCTTTTGGTCCTGCCGTTTTCTCGTCTGTGAAAGCCTCAAGTGGATGGACCTGGTGACCTACTCCTTTACTGTAGTCTTTGAGTTCCATGATGTTCCATGTATACTACCATTGTACACTGTTTGATCTGTTATACCTGCTGTACCCTGATTCAACTATGCACTGGACGCAATCTCCATCAAGAAGTCTAAGGTCAGAGGGTTCTCAGCATCAGTCTGGGGCTGCAGCAAGGACGGCAATGCCAAGAAGCCACCGACCGCTGTTCCTCTCATTTTAGCGATTTTAGCGTTTGCTTATATCTGCTTTCAGTTCCAAAAGCAAAGCAATGGCGCGCCTTGAAGCGGTTGGCACGGGAGGGTCCATCATTGTAGAACAAACAAACAAATAGAATACAAATAGAATATACCATGGAATGCTGTTTTTGCAAGCTTTTATTTTGATTCAAATAGAACTGACAAGCTGCTTTTGCATGGAGCTTGGATGCCGGTGGGGCCATTCATACTCACCACACTCGCCATTCCAATTCAATTTCCGGCAATGATTGGCAAATGACTTTAAGCCCAGATGACTTCGAAGATCCAGGTCAGTTTCGGCAGAGCAGGCCATATTCTGAATATTTCTTTTAAGACAATCTGGCCCCATCTTGGACAGTCCTATGAGGCTGGATGGAATGTGGGCCATGTGGACCATATGGACCAAGTGGATCAATGGCCCTGCACTTCGGCCAAGATATGCCAAGAATTTGACACGGATTTTTGATTCGGGGCGAATTCGACTTTTGGACAAAGCCCTGATGCGCCGCTGGGCGGCACTGCAGTGAGACAAGGTGAGACAATTTTCAACATGGCTCACGGGAGTATGTACAAATCCATACAAATCCTCTAAAGAAGCTTGATCTTGTCATCTTTTGTCTTTGCTTGGTGAGTTCACAGTGTCCACAGTGTCACGACTTGTCATCTCATCTTTTAATCTGTCATGTGAATTCGTATGCGCGAAGGTCGGTGTAGTGATTAGGTAACTTGCTGCTTTGACCTCGTCAGCTCAACGACATTTCTCTCAGCTCTTTTTCCTGGTCATGTGGTCAAAAATGACGACCTTGGCTCATGGGTCGCTGCTTCGGACCAGACCCAAGGTGGGGCCAAGGCAGCCAAGGTGCTTGGATATATTCCGTGGTTGGCACCTCCAAGCGCTTGGAGTTGTCTCCGGGCTCGGACCTGGGGTCCACGCTGATCACCTTGCTGTCGTCACTGTCGAGACTGGCAAACTTTGAAGAAATCTGAAACATTTTGAAACCAACTTATTGCAAAGATTTGCAAAATATGATATCCATGTCATTGCCCTAAGTCCCCAAGTCAAAGTAAAAGTCCAACCTGGCACGAGGCTACACAGGTTCAGACCAGGTGCCTTCCGATCTCTCTTGTTCTTGAAGAGCAGGCCCTGCTCATGGTCCGGCAGGATCTGGAAGTTCGGGCTCTCATTGGAGGTCGAATGCTGAGTGTCCCAGTTGTAGAAGGACAAGTCGGACCTCAACACAGGCACTGTCCGGTGTTAGGGTCTGTTATGGTCTGTTTTAGGCACTGCTATCAAGCACCTTGTGTCGGTCAACTGATCAGAAACCAGACAGCATTGGCACCCTATGCCCCAGTGAGGTCACTGCGACTTGGGAAGCAGTCGCTTCTTCCGGTCAAAGTACCTGTGCCAATCATGTGTAATAACACTTGACACTTAATGTGATGGCTTTGTGACTCTGGCTCTGCGTTTTGCACAAACTGACCAAAATGTTGGAGCACGGCTCAAAGTTCTCTGTTTTGAGACGATGGCCATAGTCAATGTAGCCAGAGATCTCCTGCCACAAAGATAAACACTGAAAACGGCATCTGCCGACGCTTCCCTAAATGACCTGCAATTCTTCTTTTGCGAGCGTCCTGGCCACGGTGATTCTTGTCTCTGATGAAGATGATGGTGCTGAGCTTGCCGCTTCGCACCAGTTCCTGCAGGTGAAAGGTTGAAAACGACCTAGCAAACGAACCAGAGCGAATAGACCAATACTGAAGTACTCAATAGATCTCAATAGGTTTATTCGCCAAATCCTACAATCTGGATCAATCTGGTCCTCTCTCATTGCCAAATGGCGAAGTACTGGAAAGTCGGTCAGGTTTTTCTGCGCACTCGCCAGGACCTCAAGCAGTCCACCGACTGCACCGACTGCACCGACTCCGGACGCAGATGTTCATCCCAGGAAATCCCAGGCCTTCGGTGCATTTTGCAAACGAGCCTGAGCAAAGACGCCAAAAGATACGTGAAAAGCATCAAAAAGCATCAAAAGACGCCATGGATTTGGATGGATTTGGCAGCTTTGGCAGCTACAATATGCCTATGCCTTGATCTTTAGAACTTCGAAGCATGTCACCATGTCCCGTCATTGAACTTGAAAAAGGATGATGTTGCACAAATCACCAATGACAAGTTGTTGAATTCGTACAATTCGCATACGAATTCCCCCGAACACAGCGTGCCTTTTTTGCATTCTCTGCTGCTTCTCTTCTAGCTGCGAAATCCTCTCGTGTCAGCACCTGTCAGAGGACCGATTTCGGTGAGGAAAAGTTTTTTAGCAAATCTCAGGAAAATGCAGAAAGCTGATGAAAGCTGGGAGGCCTCCCCCTTTCTGCATCCAATTTCGACGAGCTGTCTGGCCAGCTCATCCTCTTCAAGATAGAAGCGGTCCTGACACAAAATGGCAAATACTGTGGCAGAAAATGGTAAAGCAGTCTACTAAGAGTCTACTACAGTCCGATCTTTCACTCCTTGCTACATGAGAGTGTCAGATCATCGTTTGCATGCATGGTGCACTTGCAAGCTCAGTCCTGAGGTGTGATCTGGCTGTCTAAGTAGTCCTCATAGGTTGTAAACTTTTCAATGGAGTCCTGGCCGGTGCAAAACATCCCAGCTCAGCTATGCTCAGCTAATATCAGCCATAAAAATCCCAGCCTCGTACGGATGCGCATAATCATCCTCCATATTGTACCACTCTTTTGAGCCAGGGCCAGCTGCCAAGGTCCCAAAAAGTATCGAAAAGCTATCGTTCTCAGCACTCCAAAGCAGCACATCTTCCATGTTGATGTGACATTTGCCCAACGTAGCTTCGGTGCCAGGTGCCGCAGCTACACCCAGTGGAGTGTATCCTTTTTAAGAGGGTCAATGTCTCCCTCAGCACCGCCTAAAAAACAAGAATTGAGTCTACCCGAATGCGACTCAAGAACTTCAGGGCCCGCTCTGTCCACCATGTCCACCATGTCGACCTTCAACAGTTATACGGGGGTCCACTTTGCACCTGTCCCGCAAAGTGGCTCTAGGAGCGTCCCTCACTGCGCAGCCACGCTGCGCCCACCCGTTGCATGGTTCAGCTCAGCTCAAAACAAAACTGTGCTGCTCGGATCATACTGATAATTCTTAACACTTCTTATCGTCATTGCCAATCATTGCGAGCATCTCAATGTCTGAGACTACTGAGAGGAACCATCACACTCCCCTTGTGAAACACTCACTGCTAGCTGCATAAGTGGAACACATCGACGCAGCCATGACCTGCAGGGCAACTCTTGGCAAAGTGTCCTGTCCGATTTCGGAAAATTACCAAGTGTTAAATGAAACGAAACGCAAACAAGAAAGAAACGCATCATTTCAAAAATCGATATTTCTATGAACTTCTATGCATGTATGTGTTTGTTGAATGGTTTTGTACAGTGTTTTGAAACATATTTTAATTTCCTTGAATCTCTGCCTAGGCGGTCACTGCCAAGGAGTCACTGCAAAGGTATCGCCGCCTGAAGCGAAAGCTGAAACAACGGTTCGAAACTTGTGGCACTTCACAAATCTGGATTTATAAGTATTCATAATGATTACACAATTGATACACATTTGAGCGGCGTCAAAAATATGGTAGCAAAAGGGTTGTACTCCTGTTTTGCTTTCGCCATCACTTTCGCGCTGCTTTCGCGCAATGATTTCACTTTCGCGATGACATTTTGGTTGTAGTCATTTAATTTTTTGCGGCGGCTTTCGTCGCACAAAAGTGTCAGTTTTCCTATAGTATACGAAGTTGAAGGATTAGATTCAAATGTGCCAATGATTTCCCACTTTCGCAGGAACTTTTGCGAAATGAAATTGCACAAGAATGTCACTTTCGCACAGTTTCCCGCTCAGGGTTTTAGATTTCGCCAAAGGTACCCCACGACAACTTTAGACAAAATCTCCACTCCACAACTCCTTTTTGTCATTTTTTGATGCTGCTCATTTATACACCAAACTCTTCAACAGTCCTTTTTGTCAGCTGTGCCACAACTAGGGATCCAGCTCCAGATTGCCCGCCATGCGCAACAAGTCGCTTCGTGGCAAACCCCTCATCACTCGACCTGGACAGCGAAAACGTGGAATGCTTCAGGGGGCGAAAAGATAAACAATTTTCTATGGAATCAAGATGAATAAAGTGAATAAAGCAAGCTGTTCGTATCCAATGTATCTAAGTTTCCATTTCCATTGGGTCAAGGGGTTAAAGAAAGGATGGAGGAATTCTACTTGCAGATTCATTTATGCGTCATATCAATGTTGGCAACAAACCCATCTCTTGAAGGCTTGTAAGATCTTGTAAGGCTGCAAAGGAGCCTTGTTTTGCAGGGCTTTCAGATTCGCAGATTCCATCCTCTTCACCTGGACCTGCGCTGCACTGCATCCAAAACACTCCAAGACAGTCTCTTAAGAAGTCCCTACTGTGTCCCGTGGCCGCTCTAAATCCGGACCCAAAAAAAACCTCTGCGGCGACGCTTCAGCAAACTCCGAGCTGGTGAACTTTGCTGACCATCCTTGGCACAAACACAAAGAACTCTCCAAAAACATTTGGCAAACAAATCGAAATGATCACAGAAATTAAAAGATTCTTGAACACTCAGATCGCGGCAGCTGAAGTGCCTCCAAAATGGGCAAGAGATGGCAAGAGTGACCCCGTACCCCCAGCTTCTGACAGTCTCCATGCAAAGCCTTAAAGCGCCCATTGAAATTGTTCGAAAGGAAAACTATGAGTCCACCAAGATTGGACTCAAACAGCAAAACGCAGGACGGGTTGCCAAAACCTTCGAGCATTCCTTGAATTCATTGCGATACAAAGAAAGTCTCCCTGAAGTACCGCTGTATGAAACTCTACACCGCCAGCCCGACCGCCTCGGTCCAGCTCCCGCTTCACAAATGTCGCCTTGGGAAGTCTTGGAGGCACACTAAATTTGAAGTTCGGCGAAATAAGTTCCTCTTATCTAAAGCAGAAAGCCCAAACTACGGACCGGGGTACGAAGATTCACAACACCCAAAAAACCACCAACAATATTCAAACCACTATCTAAGTTTCAAGAGTTATCATCCATTTTTGGACATACCCAATCCAGCTGGATGGATATTTCCAAAAAAAATCAAACTTTTTCAGCACCACTGAGAAGCACTCCTCGCGCTTCTCCTTCTTCAACGGCATCGGCTCCGCCTCTCCAAGGAAACTCCCAGAGGCCGGAAAAGTTTTTTATCTTGATTCAAAATAATTAATATAAATACGTATATATATATATATATTCTGTATACTATTATGTGTATATTATATACATAATGAAAACATATTATGTGTATATTATATACATAATGAAAACATACCTGAGAAGGGGTGGAACGAAAGCCAGCGCTTGCTTTTTGACTCGCGCGGGGGCGCGTGAAACTCCACCTCATCCATATGGCATGGCTCAAACATGAAGCGCCCCAACATAAACAATTGCTATCGGGTCATAATTTTCCAATCATTAAATGGACCTTTTTAGGGTAAACTCCACGGTTTTGTAACTTCTATATCCAAATATGTTTCCTACAATGTACTGCGGCATTGTGAAAAGTTCTATCTCAAGTTCCGTAAATCCGCCTTTGGTTGCTCATTTATCTTAAAACAGCGCAAGTTTGCTCCCACCTATTGTAGATAAATTATACCCGTTTTTTTGTGTGAACAGTGGTCATGTGACCTCTCAAAGTCTAAATTGTTTTCTCCCAGAATCGTGGTCCATGCTTCTCCGCGAAGTTCCGCAATATTTTGGCCGCACGGTGAGAAATCAAAACATAGCTCTACTCGCAAAATGGGCAGTGCAAACCCAAGACAATATTATAACATACGTAAGAAAGGGTATAAGAACGAATGAAATCGAGGAAAACAATGCAAAACCCACGGGAAATATAGAACAGTGGCGAACATGCAGTCCAAATCAAAAGTATATATATTTAGGCCATTTACAGACCTGGGTACCCCCCCCCACCCCCCAAGGGTCTGGAAAATAGGTATTTTACAGGAAATGTCGCGGAATAGCATCATCCCTGACATCGATAGAGATAATTGTTTGGCATCCCGGAAAATCTTCTCAGCTATCACACTCGCCAAACATCCCTTTTAAAAGGCACACATACTATCACGGACGTACAGATGCATATCATTCCCGTCATTGCCATTAGAAGATTCAAATTCTTTCTCGATGTTTTAGTACAAGATTCACTTTTAGTTCTGTTTCAGCCTTCTCAGTACGGCCTCTTACAATGATATTACAGCATTTGTCTCCTAACCTAGGTGGCTCCTGGGCGCAATCTTCACTCCAATGCTTTGTGACAATAACCAGAGGCCTGGAGCCTATGCATCACTTGACAGTCGACTCAGTTCTAAACCGGAAAGACTATTCCTTCCGTTTACCAGTAGATCGTTTTTGTAGTTCTTATCACAAAACTACCAGAATCAGGGAGGCACCAAAAAACGTCAAACAGCTTTAAGCATTATAAATACTCTAATCTGCAGATTGTATTTATTTTTCTTACCCTGTGAACGAAATCACGCTTTTCTAACTTCACACAGATTACCATGAAACACATTTTCCCATGCAACTCCTAAAATCTTACAACTCATACATCTTTTTTCCTATACCATCCGCATCTTGCTCCAAGGTTTCATGGCAATGTCTTGTACGCGAGGCAGCCACTATTTCGTATCACCAAACTACATTGCTCATCATCTAACATTCTCTACAGAAACCAAATCGGATTTCCTGCTCAACGTTTCCGCTCGTTGACATTGTCTTGGTTTTCACTATATTTTTAAAGCATGTTTAGTTATAACATTTTCCTAGGTTTTCACTGTATTTTTCTAACATGTTACATGCCTCCTAGCATGTTCACGCGTGTCCTCCATGTTGTACTGTTTTCTACATCGTTTCCTCTACACCGGGTCCTTTTACCGTGGAAGTCAGGATGGAAAAACCTGTCGGTTTACATGGAAGTCGTTTACGTCCAATTCCTGGGGAAAAAGTGAAACTGGGCTACCGGGCCAGCAAATGCAGAAAAACTGACCGTGAATCTCTTACATGGAAGTAGCTCATCAGATATGTCAGTAACATATTCATCATGGAAGTGTGAAAACTGAGACTAAAAACCCTTACGTGGAAGTAACTTGAGGGTCCAGACATCAGGTTGGCAATGTTAACATGTTCTCCCCTCATGTTGAATACATCCTTCTAGGGCGATCCCTAAAACCCCCAGACTGACCGCCACATCATTTCTTTTCTTCTTTGCATCTATCTTCTCACCCCTGTCATGTCCGAGCGATTGAGGATGCAACCTTTCGAAAGCAATGCTGCCAAATTGGTGCTCGCTAACGTGGCACTGCCCACATCCTGCTTCAAGTAGCAAATTTCTATGTAAGTTATCCGTTCCAATCGTTGGTTGTTAAAAAATGGAGGCATTCCCAGCTTTATCTTGAAAAAAAAAAATTTCTACGTTAATCAACAAATGCCCAGGATTCCCGGGGAACTCGTGGCAAAAAGAACTAGCCAAAAAAAAAGGGCTCAGATCCAAAGAACACAAATTTGCAGTTTACCCCCCCATTGCAACTAACATGGAAGTAAACCTCCGAATTGTCACTTTAGTTAACGTGGAAGATTTTTTTTCACTACTGTAAAAGGAGGACCGGGCGCTCCCTAACATGGCACTGCCCACATCCTACTTCAAGTAGCAAATTTCTATGTAAGTTATCCGTTCCAATCGTTGGTTGTTAAAAAATGGAGGCATTCCCAGCTTTACCTTGAAAAATTCAAAATTTCTACGTTAATCAACAAATGCCCAGGATTCCCGGGGAACTCGTGGCAAAAAGAACTAGCCAAAAAAAAAAGGCCTCAGATCCAAAGAACACAAATTTGCAGTTTACCCCCCCCCATTGCAACTAACATGGAAGTAAACCTCCGAATTGTCACTTTAGTTAACGTGGAAGTTTTTTTTTTGCACTACGGTAAAAGGAGGACCGAGCGCTCGCTAACATGGCACTGCCCACATCCTACTTCAAGTAGCAAATTTCTATGTAAGTTATCCGTTCCAATCGTTGGTTGTAAAAAAATGGAGGCATTCCCAGCTTTACCTTGAAAAATTCAAAATTTCTACGTTAATCAACAAATGCCCAGGATTCCCGGGGAACTCGTGGCAAAAAGAACTAGCCAAAAAAAAAGGCCTCAGATCCAAAGAACGCAAATTTGCAGTTTACCCCCCCCATTGCAACTAACATGGAAGTAAACCTCCGAATTGTCACTTTAGTTAACGTGGAAGATTTTTTTTTGCACTACGGTAAAAGGAGGACCGAGCGCTCGCTAACATGGCACTGCCCACATCCTACTTCAAGTAGCAAATTTCTATGTAAGTTATCCGTTCCAATCGTTGGTTGTAAAAAAATGGAGGCATTCCCAGCTTTATCTTGAAAAATTCAAAATTTCTACGTTAATCAACAAATGCCCAGGATTCCCGGGGAACTCGTGCCAAAAAGAACTAGCCAAAAAAAAAGGGCTCAGATCCAAAGAACACAAATTTGCAGTTTACCCCCCCATTGCAACTAACATGGAAGTAAACCTCCGAATTGTCACTTTAGTTAACGTGGAAGATTCTTTTTTTCACTACGGTAAAAGGAGGGGGAGTAGTTGTTACAAGCATTTCCTAGCTTGTACACCGTTTTCCTAATATTGTCACAACTTTTCTTCCAGTTTCCACTGCTTTTTCTACCGTTTCCTGTGGTTACTTTCTTCTCTTTTGTAGGTTTTCACTGTGTTTTGTCCAGCTTTTTTTACTACATGCTTCCTACCATTTTCACCGCTTTCCTCTGTGGCTTTTTGTACCATTTCCTCTCGTTTCCTGCATTTCATGCATTTTCAATATATTTTTCCAAGAGTTTTACCCGTCTCCTTCAGTTTCCGATCGTTTTTGCACCATTTCCTCTGGTTGTTATCGCATTTTCCTGCACTTTCACTGTATTTTTCCAGCATGTTTACTGCATCGTCATAGTTTGTTCCTAGCAGTCGCTCCGGTTTCCTCCATGTTCCAACAGATTTTGCACCCTTTATTCTGGTTGTTATCACATTTTCCTGCCAGGTTGTTATCACATTTTCCTTCACTGTATCTTTCCAGCATTTTCCAGTGGATTTTGCACGATTTCCTCTGATTGTTATCATGTTTTCCTGCAGTTTCTATATCCTCTTCGTGGGTTTTCAGTCTATTCATGCATTTTTAATCTATTTTTCCAAGATTTTTACCCGTCTCCTTTTTGCACCATTTCCTCTGGTTTGCTGCATTTTTAATGTATTTTTCCAAGAGTTTTACCCGTCTCCTTCATTTTCCGATCGTTTTTGCACCATTTCCTGTGGTTGTTATCGCATTTTCCTGCACTTTCACTGTCTTTTTCCAACATGTTTACTGCATCGTCATAGTTTGTTCCTAGCAGTCACTCCGGTTTCCTCCATGTTCCAACAGATTTTGCATGGTTTGTTCCTAGCATTCGCTCCGTTTTCGTCCGTTTTCCAGGGGGGTTTGTACGATTTCCTCTGATCGTTATCATGTTTTCCTGCAGTTTCATTGTATTTTCCAATACATCCTCATGGTCTCTCCGGCCACCAAAAAGGCGGACCTAGGGGGAATCGATACCCCACCGTCAGCAAATTACCTAGTGGTACATAATCCAGCAAAATGTTCCGTTTTCTGGCGCTCAACACAGGGGCACGGCGAGATTTCGTTCCCTTTCGGCAACCACCCCCCCCCACACCCCCTATTCTCACTTCGTTCGCAAACAGCAACTAGCCAGCTAGCTGCCTTTCGTAATAAAACGACAATGATACACATTGACATACACTGACAATCATTGACACCATTTGCATCCTGCTGTTTTGGAGCCTTCATCTCCTGCTTTGGCCACCCATCCGCTTTGCTGCGACGTCGCCCAGTTGCGAAAAGTTGGGCTTCCAGGCGTTTTCTTCGCCTTTGTATTCCAACACAATCCGAGTTTCTCTCAGGAATTGTGTTAAATGTTTGCTTCCGCTATGAAAAAGAGAAAGTTGGCAAACACAAAGGGTGCGAGGGGCGCTGCAAATCTGGAAAGATCTTAGAATCATGTGAAATCAAAGAATTGAACACATCAGACTGCGCCTGGCCAAGTGCATCTTCACATCACCGACTTCCTCAGCCTCTAATTCGCTGTCCTGAAATATCTGAAATGTTCATTTAAGAAGGCCTCCATTCAATTCTGCAGCACCTGCATACCGCACTCCAGAGCCATGCCTCTTCCTCCAAAGGCTCTTCCAAAGGCTCAGCAAGGGGGCTGAGCTCAGCCACAGAACATGGAGCTTCCAAAGGCCGAACTGCCTCAAAATGGCACATGTCTGCATATGGTTCAGCGCATTTCAACCATCGCAAACCTTCCATTAAATTCATTGGACTTACAGTACATAGACTTACCATTTTTTGAAGCAAGTTTTCGACATTTAACGTCGCAGCCACGCCTTCAATGGTGCACCAAATTGCTGCTGGATCGTTGGGGACATATTGTCAGGATCCACATCCTACGCAACACTGTATACAGGGCTCAAAAAGGCTCGCAAGGGCTCTGGGTGGCAGGATCGTATTCATCATGTTGTCCATCATCATCATCATCATCATCATCATCATCATCATCATCATCATGACCATCATGACCATCACCATCACCATCACCACTACCATCATCATCACCACAACGATCACCTTCATTGTGGAACCTCTTGTTTCCACAAGGGCAAATGTGTGGATCACCTGCTGTTGAAGTCAGACTGTTGCAGGCAGTCCCCAACTCAGGGAAAGGGAGGCTCGAGTTCCAGATCAAGTCTTGTTCAGATTCGGGGCAACTTCACTTCAAGCGGGTTTTTAACATGTTTGTCCGGTTCGATTCTGCTTTGAGTTTGGTTCAAAGGGAAAAAAAACGGAATGTAGCAGTTAAGTTCAAGCGAAGTTCGAGCAGCGTTCACTGGGATCGCTGGGTTTATTCCAACAAACCAATCATCCATTATCATGCACGCTGAACTCCCCGGTGAATTCAAAGCGGCCTGCCTGAGCTTCTGCTTTGTCTCCAGACTTGTCGTCTGTCATCTGTGCCGCTTCTCCAATTTCTGCTTCCAATTCCTCCGCTTGTGGCATTTCCGCCTGTCTGCAGAGTTAGTACTACATGATGGTCTTGTTACGTGCTGCCATGAATTCATAACCACTGGATTCTCCAGCCTTATCACTTTGTGCGTCAACTATCTGCTCATCACCACTTTCATCTTCCGGCAGTCGTTCTTGCTCATCCTTCCAACAAGACTGTTGTAATTGTTGAACAAATGACATCAGATTGATTAACAGACAGTGCCAAACATGCAGCTGACTGTGTCGCTGGCCGAGCAAAATGGCTTCCACTTTCACGATCAATTCCGCGCTTTGGGAATTCAAAGCGGCCTGCCTCAACTTCTGCTTGCGCCACTTCTCCAATTTCTGCTTCTTCCAATTCCTCCGCTTGTGGCATTTCTGCCTCCTGTCTGCAGAGTTAGTACTACATGATGGTCTTGTTACGTGCTGCCATGAATTCATAACCACTGGATTCTCCAGCCTTATCACTTTGTGCGTCAACTATCTGCTCATCACCACTTTCATCTTCCGGCAGTCGTTCTTGCTCATCCTTCCAACAAGACTGTTGTAATTGTTGAACAAATGACATCAGATTGATTTTCAGACAGTGCCAAACATGCAGCTGACTGTGTCGCTGGCCGAGCAAAATGGCTTCCACTTTCACGATCAATTCCGCGCTTTGGGAATTCAAAGCGGCCTGCCTCAACTTCTGCTTGCGCCACTTCTCCAATTTCTGCTTCTTCCAATTCCTCCGCTTGTGGCATTTCCGCCTCCTGTCTGCAGAGTTAGTACGACATGATGGTCTTGTTACGTGCTGCCATGAAGTCAAAATCACTAAATTTTCCAGCCTCATCAATTGGTTGATGAAGTATCTCTTCGTATTCTGGTAAATGCGTTTGTTCATCCTCCAACGCTCCAATTGTTGAAAGAGCATCGGTCAAGATAATTGTTCAGTGCTTAGCCGGCAAAACCTGTTAGAATTGAGTGCTAATGCAAAATCCGCGTCAAATTCTCGCTGCAACACAGAAAACAGGATGAACAAGCCAGCGGCTGACTGCTCTTTGTGTCAAGGAGGGCAATCTTCAAACATTGGAAAATGAACAAGAAAATCAATTGAAACCGACACAAGTTATAAGGGTTCCAGAAACATTGTCAAAAATAGCAACATGGAAGGTGTTCAGCTTCGTCCTCTTCTTGGACATCATCCTTGTTTTGCAGGGGTTCCATCTGGTCAATTTCCTGCGCATAAATTCATGTCCAGTGTGATGGTTTCGGGGCAGCTGAAAAAAAAAACATGTTTAATGTTTTTTCTACTTGTTCAATGGTTTGAAGAAGAAAACACTGTGTTTTACAGTGTTTCTGGCCGTGATCAATTTTGCTCTCAAGGTCAATGAAAATGAAAACATGAGACAAAAACATGTGTTTAAAAAGGTATACACAACCAATGTAAATTATACTGTGTGCTGATATTGAACCTCAAATTTAATGGTAGTTCCATGTAGTGACACGTTTTGAACATGTTTCAGATTAAATAGAAAAGAAAACCGAGACCTGCGATATAGAGAACAGCGTCCAAGAATGTCCAAGATATCCTTGCCCTAGTTAAAACATGTTAAGACCATACTTTAGAGATCCTTAGAGCCTTTCTCCACACGGCATCTGCTCCAGCTGTTTTGTTTGCCGTCCAAGCCAATGGCAACAAGAAAATGAAGAGAATGCAGCAGCATGGGACGATCAGGATGTCTCATCTTTACAGTAAATTCATGTAAATTCATATAAATTCATGTAGATTCAGTAGATCTGGCTCACAACTTACAAGCGCATGAACATGTTTAATATGTTTAGGATCTCCTCCTGTCCATCGGCATCTCGGCTGGGAAGGAGTGCAGCGAGGTCCTAAACATCATGACAGCTCCCATGTTTCAACTTGAGATTCTCATAGTTATCTTATGTTATCTTCCTTAGTTAGCTTTAGCTTAGTTAGGCTTAGTTGCTTCGTTATCTTCTCCATGTTGTAGAATCGCAGTGCGAGCATTCATCTCGGGGATCCCTAGCCCGTGGATGCCGTGGCCTCTTCGAACTTTTTTCTGGAGCTGGCGAGGAAGGAGAGAAGTCCTCAACGCGCAGCGCGCGGAGGGTTGGAATTCGGCTGAGCACAAGCAGTCCGTAGGAGTCCATAGCAGTCCACAGCATCGCGCCTCGATGAACAGTCATCCCTGGAACAAGCCAATGATGTTACCCAAAAGCACTTTGCAAAATAACAAGGGTCCCACGAGACAAAAAAAAGGGGATCCATGTTCAGCAAAAATCAAGCTGAGAAGTGACTGAAGCACTATTGATTTCTTGGCCTTTGCGGTGGCTGCACCAACTGGACACTGTGGTGCGAGCTCTTGCAACTTGAACGTCTTGCCAAGCAGGGTACAAATGCAGTTCAGACTTCCATTTAGTTGCTGCTATATTCGCAGTATGATGTCACAGGTTGGTCAATACTTGATCTCATTTGGATTCATTTGGTCCAGTATGACTTTCATGATTTGCCTTTTCTACTTTGCTACTCAGATAAGCAAAGCAGATGAAATCATCACACAAAAATGCTGCAGCCACAAAACCAAAACAGAACAATGTGGTGCGGTCACAATGATCACGATAAGCATGTGTGCAATCTCTTCTAGAGAACTGAAGAAGAGCTCGAATCATTTCTTGGGGCGGGAATAACGCTGTGTCACTGGATGTGTTTTTTCCGCTCAAAGCAAGTGTCGTATTCTCCTCCGGAACATCGGAACATCACCGGAAGGCGTTGTGCCATATGTAACCTGCAGTATATAATTAGTTCAAAAAGGCACTGCTGATATTTGTTCACAGGCCCTTGCAAATCTTGAAACTTGACATTTGTGTCACTGAGGGATGTCTTCTGCGCTCGGGTTGAGCAAAGGCGCAGCCAGTAGAGGAGCGTGGGTCCAATTGGTTGCAGGATGCAATTGATGCCATGATGTTCTAGGAACCATATGCCAAAGGCTTTGCGGATGATCCTTTCGGGTTCAAAAGGTTGAAACAAACGAACATCGGAGCTCCCTCAGCCGGTGGCAAAGCACACTGCTCCCAGAAGCAAAGGCGAGTGCTCACCATGGAGCACAGCTTGCCGCCCTCCATAGGCATGGTCAATTTTGTACCACCCTTGATGCACAGCTCCTTTGTCTCCACAGCGAATAAAGGACGACCATTGGCTTGAGGAGCAGAAAAGCCCAAACCCATGCAGAAGATGTAGTACAGCCAGAACGTGTCGCCAAAATTGGTAGACCAGTCAAAGAGCTGCTTGCCACTCCATCCATCACCACCTGCAAGCTTTTTGTTGAAGCAAACGCAAATTGGAGATCCTTCGGATGGGGGCAAAGCGCACTGGTCCGTAATGCACAGGCAAACACGGATGTTGGAGCAGAAAGGATCGCCCACATCAGTCATCTCGCACCTGCTGTGGAGACAAATGTTCACAGCTTCTCCTCCACAGAATGGATTACCAACAGCACCAATGCCAACACCCTCACAGAAGCAATAGTTCAACCACCAAAGTTCGTTGAACATCTTGTCGCGGTCCAAGTTGGGGGAGATGTCGGACTTCGCGATGTCAGGCATGGCTGAGAGGAAGAACAATACACTTCTTCGAGGGCTGTGTCTTGTGCAGTTTGCCCGAGCTGGACCCAAATGTCTACGGTCGCACAAATGCACCACATAATATGTTCCAAGACAACATCCAAACTCATCCACCGAATCATCGACCTATCGAATTGAGGGATATTGAGGGACTATGTACAGTATCGGATAGTATCGGCAAGCCCTCGGCAACATCATGCGTGCTCTTTTCTCAAATCCTTCACTTTCAGCCCACGTCCTCAACCAGTGGTGAATCGCTACAGAAGACTCCGTCCTGCGACTGAGCACAGTGAACACCACGAAATGTACGGGGACATAGTGTGGACCGCTATGGACCGCTCCTGTATTTGATGATCTCCTCTAAGGGTGAAGTTCTGTCGCTGTTTGGCAAGGGATAGAAGACCTGCATCGGATTCAGCCAGATCATTCAGGCTAACAAGCCAAGGGCATCAAAAGCCAAAGGTCATATGCTTTGCCTTGTCAGATCTTATCAGTGTCTCTGGAGACTGAAAACGTCTGAATATGTCTGGAGGCGGCTTCAAAGACTCAATCTGCCTCTGGAGGGCAAATCAAGATTGGAGCTGCTGGAGCTGCTGGAGCTGCAAGGTCAGCAGAACCTGGAGATTCAGAAATCCGGTCCGGGGGTCAAGAGTCTGAGAGTCTGAGCACTTCGGGTGCCTATGCATGCCTTCGGGCAAGAATGATAAGAATGTCTTCTGAGATGTTCTGAGATGAGACGCCTCTGTTGTTCTTGGCATCAAGCCGCTCAAGCCATTTATGTCAAATTCCTTCCTGGCCGGTCCTGGCCTGCAACCAAAGGCAAAGCCCTCATGGTGGCACGTGTGAAGAAGCCCGGCCCAGTGTCTGCAATGAAGGAAGCCTTGTGTGTTCTGCGGGCAAGAGCACAAGTGCTATGTAGTCACGCAATCTTGAATCTTGACATAATGTCCAACTGCTCAACTGCTGAATTCGTGACACACCAAACCATACTTTAGAATCTTTAGAATGTCATGAAATGTCATGAATGTGCCTTTCCCTTTGCAAGCTCGACGCCCAGCATCCCCGACCTGGTGCGGTGTGAACCAAAAGCAGCAAGCCTAACTGAGCTGACTGGCACACCTTTTTTTGTGTCACATTGCTGAGTAAACTAAAGATGCAAAGCTGTGCCATGCTGTGCCTCTGCAGTTGGTGTGCTACTGCTTCGCCAGGTTCAACATCATCCTGAATGTCAAGCACTGGAGCAACGCAGCGACCGAACAGAAGCAGTTGGAAAGATCAGCGTTAAATACAGCGCGGAGAAGCGCTGAGGCTGAAGAGCACTGAAACAGAGCCGAACTGGCTTAGACCCGAGTTGGACCCGCCTGCCCCCACTCTGGCCACGGTTTGCCAACATGCTCGCAATAAAAAGCCACGAGTGGGTGCCTGCACTGATCCATGGTTTCAATGGCCGTTTCAATGGCCGTTTCAACGGCGGTTTCACCTTTGCGAAGCCTTGGCGCTGCCGCAAAGAGGCCGTTGTTCAACTCAAAGGCACCAACCTTGGCACGTCCAAGGCGGCAGATCTCTGCTCGCCATGGAGCCCAGTTTGAAAGTTCGTGCTCTCCATCTTTAAGGAAAGATGGAAGAAATCACAATGAATCCATCATGAATCCAAAGGACAGCATGTTTTCACTTTGTCTTTTCAAGGAGCATTTGACACTCCAGTGTAGAAGGATGTCGCATGATGCAATTCATCAAGAGGTCGTAAGCACTCAAAGTCCTGCCAATGTGTACTCAGAGTGTCATGCGTTCAAGCCTTTTCAAGATGGCTATATCATTAAACAAACATGTCAAGAAAATTCTCATGCAGTCCATATCGACGTACAAGCCTCCCTGCTCCAAAACAATCACCAGACCTCAGAAGGCGGTGTGATACGTGAGTAAGATCCGAAAGCCAAACATGTCGGAAGCTTGGAAGTGAAATGGTTTAAGTTGGTTTAACCATTTGTTTTCAGACTGTACTGCGCGACTCAAAAGTTTGGCTTCCAATCCGCTCGGGAAATTACGAAGTATGTCACTCTTCTCCGCAGGGTTGCTTGCAGCTTCAAATGCCTGGCTGTTTTCTGAATTGAAGCTTCACAATGTTACACTGTATTACAATGTGCTAGAAGTTCTAGCTAGAAGCAGCTAGAAGCAGCTAGAAGCTACAAAGAGATTGGCAGAGCCTGCAAGAGTCCAGGATGGTGCTGCAAGATCACCGCCGCGTCTTTATCCGTCCACAAGCGATACTCCCATTGGGGATGGCCTTGGACCGGAGATCATCGGAGACCAGGGAATCATGATATCCATGTATAATATATTACATATACTAACTTACGTTTGATCCGCTCAAGGGCCCTGCGAAATGAGTCTGTGTTCTATCGACCAGAGGCTACAAACCTTGGATACCTGACTGCGGTTGCAACTTCACTCCGGTCGCTCTTCTGGGAGTGTGTCGCCGCCTTTACAAGCAGTCTCGGCATCGGCTGTGCTCTGCACGTGGCCTGTCCTGGGCACCATGCTTGAGGTGATTGCAGCTGGCCTCATGGTAGCATGTGCCTGACTTGGTCACGAAAATCTTCGGTGGTGCCTTTGCGTCCACCAATTTCCCGCGGAGATCTTGTATCTCTCGGCCGTATTGGCCATTCAATTCCCTAAACCTCCTACAATCGGCCTCAAGCTGCTCAATGCGCTTCTTGAACTCTTCCTTCTCCACATCCGCCATCGGCGCAGCAGCAGCAGTAGAAGGCGCAGGCGCAGGCGCAGGATGCATTCCAAACAGTTCTTGTCCATCTCGGTGCTTCTTCTTTTCCTCCTTCTGCTGTTCTTGCAACTGTGCCATCTTCCGTTGTGCAGAAGCGATGACTCCTTCTTTCATCTTGTTCTCGCCAGTCACAAATTTGATCTTCTTCTGCAGATCGGTATTGTCATTTGCAAGCTTTTCAATGTTCTCCTCCAGGAGGTTCATCTGA